TCGAACCCGGGTCTCCCAGATACGCGCCGGGCACTCTTACCGACTAAGCTACCGGGAACCACAGAAATTCACTCTCAAATTCACCTCAAACACCGCCTAACCTCCTTTAGGCGGTTCGCTGATTCCATAACCGGGTCATTGGCGGTATTCGACGGAATTCATTCATTCGAATGTCTCGTCCTTTCGTTTGTTTCTGAAGCGGATCTCCACGCATGGGTTGTGATTTTCGTACTCCCAGTGAACAGCGCAATCAATCCTCTCCTCTACACATTCACAACTCCAAAATTCCGAGAACGATTGGAGGAAGGCTGGGTGGGACAGCTTCGGAATTACGTCTTACGAAGAACATCGGCTCAAGGTAACCGAATGGTTCATTCATGTCTTGTTGGTGAAAAAACGAAGGGTTTTTTTCCAGATTCTCAGGGATCGTTGGAAGGCACTCAAGAGAGATCGAATTCATTCTTGTCTCTGACCACCAAGTGGACCGGCTTCGATAAAAAATTTCCGAATTACAAGAAACATTGAATTTACAAAATTGAATTTGTTTTCTATGTGTAATAAGTCGCGCTGAATAAGTAATATCTAAGAAAATCGTGATGTCTTTAATTTTTTTTGTTTGATCATGTTGTTATGCAATGCCACATCATATATTCTCAGTATTTGCAATATTGATGTATAACGAACAGGTGTAAAATGGGTGCTTGCGGTTTTGAATAAACATCTTTATAAAATGAAGAAGAAACGTTAAAAATGTGAATGTTGACGCACACAAAATTTTCATTCACAAATTTATTGAGTTCGCCAGAAAATTCTATTGAATTTCTATTGATTATTTCCCTCGTCACCCTTCCAACAGAATTGTGATGTTTCGTGGTACAATCAAACGAGAATTATATCGACTACTTTTTCTCCAATGAAATGCTTTTCTATTTTTGTAGTCGAATGTTAGAGCTTTTATTTGAGCCCCATTTGACGCTAAGTTTCCGGACACTTTACAATGATTTTTTTATTTAAACTTCGCAGGTTTCAATTTGAATCTCGGTATTGAACCGTTAGAAAACACTTTAAATATCTGAAAAAAATAGAAAGTTTACCTTTGGGGGATGATTGATAATATAATGAAAAATTGCAGTTTTTAAAAATTACGTGCATTTTCTATAAATAATTTATAAACAATCAATTTTCCATAAAAATCATTTGTTCAGAATCGTAACAGATGTGGTCATATTCAGAATTTTATCAGAAATCGATTTTTTGCCTAAAAAAATAAGGTTTCCGCAAGTTTAAACAACTTCAATTATTTATTTATAAACAAAGAATGTTTGAAAAAAAATAATTCTGTGCAAAATGTAATTTGAATGATACTAAATATTCATGATTTTTTCAAATTTGTCTCACACAGTTTAATTGACAAATTTCATGATTGAAAATGGTTGAATCTTTAGTACTGGATATTCTTAGGGATATTCAAGATTTCCACAATGTTACAATGATTTTATTATTTAAACTTTACAGGTCTGAATGTGAATCTCGGCATTAAACCGTCAGAAAACACTTTAAAAATAAGAAAAAAAATTAGAAAGTTTACCTTTGGAGGATGATTGATAAAATAATGAAACATTGCAGTTTTTAAAAATTACATGCATTTTCTATAAATAATTTAGAAACAATCAATTTTCCATAAAAATCATTTGTTTCGAATCGTAACAGATGTAGTCATATTCAGAATTTTATCAGAAATCGATTTCATGCCTAAAAAATTAAGGTTTCCGCAAGTTTAAACAACTTCAATTATTTATTTATAAACAAAGAATGTTTAAAAAATAATAATTCTGTGCAAAATGTAATTTGAATGATGGTAAATATTCATGATTTTTTCAAATTTTTCTCACGCAATTTATTTGACAAACTTGATGATTGAAAATGGTTAAATTATTAGTGCTAGATAACCGTAAGGATATCTAAGATTTCCACAATTTTACAATGATTTTATTATTTAAACTTGGCAGGTTTGAATATGATTCTCGATATTGAACGATTACAAAACATTTTAAAAATCTGAAACAAAATTAGAAAGTTTACTATTGGAAGAAGATTGATAAAATAAGTAAAAAATTGCAATTTTTAAAAATTACATGCATTTTCCATAAGTAATTTATAAACAATAAATTTTCCATAAAAATCATTTGTTCAGAATCATAACAAATTTATTCATATTCAGAATTTTACCAGAAATCGATTTCGTGCCTAAAAAAATAAGGTTTCCAAAAGTGTAAACAATTTCAATTATTCATTTCTAAACAACGAATGTTAAATAAATGATAATTCTGTGCAAACCGTAATTTGAAACGAATTATCCTCACGCAATTTAATTACGAATGTAAAGATCACGAATTTTTAAATTTCGAATTTAATGATTAAAAATAGTTGACTCTATAGTGTGGTTTGTACCAAACTGTAAATGCTACTTAATATCCTTAAACCCTGTTTTTCTACAAAATTTCTTCCCTCGTCTCCAACATACACTTGTCTGACATAAGATAAACCATGAAGGTCAGAATGCAGACCCTAGCAGTTGAGCACGCAGTCTCCGAAAGGTCTGTTCCCTCCTGTACCCTCCCGTCAACACATGTGACATTGTTTTTTCTCCCATCAAATTAAAAAAGGGTGAGAACAAGTGTCCGCATCTAGATATAAATTTTTTCATAAAGAGACCGTTTCTCCACGTTATGTCGAAACCACTGGGCATCTGGTGCCTCAAGGACATCCGGATGAGCACGAGGCATTGAAAAAAAATTCATCGGCTGTCAACGAAAAAGAGAACTATGTTAGGAGTGTCGTATTCGGCGACCAAGAGGAAACCGAATGTTACATCCCATCCACCACCACACGACGTTACGTCTTACTAGCAACATCGCATCAGTTGATCAGCCTCCCAGCGAGAGCTCCAGTTCGTTATTGGCAGTTACTGCCAGTAGCACGTGTGCTTCGGAGAAACTGTAACTCCGGTTTCAGGGGGACTTCCTGACAAATTGTGAATTCATTGATGCATTTCATGATATTCTGGTGTTATATCTGATACGAGAGTTTTTAGTTCTTAACATCATGGGGACTAAATCATTCGGCTTCGTCGTTTACTTCGTCGTCGGTTGCATTCATCTACGAGGTACATTTATCAATTTGATCAATTAATTTTTCATCATCTCTGGAGATGACAGTTGTTTGCAGGTGTATCACTATGTCATTGTTTAGTTTAGCTGGGAATTAGGAAAATCGAATAAGTCGATTCCAGGGGATCATGTACTTACCTACGAAAAAATTTAATAGAAAAACCTAGCGCTCTCTCTAAGAATTTATATTGAATTTCTATTGGAACTCCACGTATGAAAAAATCCTGTAGGATTTCCTATAGGAAATCCTATGGAGAATTCGAATATTCCCTATAGGATTTCTCTGGTGGGATTTCCTATAGGATTTCCTATAGAATTCGCTATAGGGTTTTCTATAGAAAGTAACACACAAAATCGAGGTCAGGATTAGGGCCATAACTCTGATAGGAAATTCTATAGGAAATCCTGCGGGAAATCCTATAGCATTTTTTCATACGTGTCTATAAGAATTGTATTGGAATTCTATTTGATTTTTGCGTCAATTCTATTAAAAAATGATCCAACGTCTTCCCGCGTTTTTAAACATATTTTTTAATGGAAAAATATGTATGGATGTTGATTTTTCTGTATAACTTATTCTGTTGGGATTTTTTGTGTAAGACTTCTTGGGTGTGATTTTTCCATTTTTTTTTCTTTGATTTTATTATGAGAAACAAATAAAAATACAGCAGAAAAAACTTGGACACTTTACGCTAAGAATTTCTCTTGAGAAATTAAAATCTATTGACTTTTTAAAATTAAATATCTCTTAATAAAATGACTCGGTAAAGTTGCATAATCTTCTGTAAAAATGGCGTGAAAAACAAATAGAATTTTTTAATAGAATTCTAACGGAACTTCAAGAGAATTCTTACAGAGTTCCAATAGAAATTCAATAGAATTTTTTAGACAAAGCTCTAGGCTTTTCTAGTAAATTGTTTCATGCGTGATTTCCGAATAATATGTCACGGGTCAAGAAGAACAGCGCGATTGTTGTGACATTCTTTTCTATAATTAAATTGAATTTACAATCAAAGTTCTTATGATATTAATTATTTCAAAGATATTTTTCAACCAAAATCTCTCTGTGAGTGATTCATTCGGTAGATTTTTTTTATTCAGTCGATTCTCGTATGGAAACGATATGATTTAAATGAAAATTTCCAAATCAAATGTGTCATAGATCATGTCTGACGCCAAGAATTCTTAAATGAATAGCTTCGAAAATCCGTAAGAGTTTGCAACACAATTTTACACCGAAATCTGAAACAATTTTTTTCTTTTTCCCCCGTCCTGACTTATTCCTTCGATAATTTATTTATATTCACGTGATTTTACGTAGAAACATGTAAAAACAGTGCAATTTCAATAAAAAAAACTTCATAATAAATAAATAATGAAATATTAAATATAAAATAATGAAATATTTCCATTCCAATGTGTTTCGCAGAAAAAAATGGCATTGAAATCTAGAATGTCACGAAATCTTCCCCACTAATTCTCGGAATTTCGCGAATAATTTATTACATTGTTGTTGACAACTTCATAATCTTGTGACAAGGTGTCAAAGACAAAACCTTGCTCCAGATTGCGAGTGCAGGCTAGGTGATATAGATCAAATCGTCTGCTCTTATCACGAAATAATCAACGATACTTCTGTAGACATGTGATAACTATTTCTTTCTAGTAATAACAATCGCGATAAACACTTAGAAGAAATAATCTTTCACGATTGTTGATACATTATGAAAAGGAGATGCAGCAGACACGCGGATGGAGCAGCAGTTTGAGAAGTGCTGCGGTTTGGGAACAGATTGGGCATCGGAGGGACTCAGATGCGAGAAATTTGCAGGGCCGGTTTCGGGGGTTCCCGCGGTTGAGCAGGCGATGTGCCTTGAGACTGTTGATATCTGTTGTATAAGGGAGAACCATCGGAAGAATTGTGAGAAGGGAATGAACAAGGCGAGAAAAGGTCTCAGTTGTACTGAGAGCTCCAAGGCTAGGGGATCTGGGAGTGGACGGACTGATGGGTACGAACAGGATTGCTGTGAAGGCTGCAAACTCGGTATGACGAGATTCGTTGATTATGCACGCACGAACATATATCTCTATATTATAAAAATCTAAGTCGACTTCTAGTGATGAAAATCTGGTACTCGAAATTGAGACTCCAAAAATCAAGGTCACAAGGGTCAAAATAAGGGTCATGAGGGTTTGAGTAAGGATTATCAGAGTCATGACGATCAGAATAAAGGTCATAAGGGATAGAACAAAGTCTCGAGGGTCAAATTAAGGGTCACAAGGGCAGGATAAGGGTCACGAGGGTCATATTAAGGGTCACAAGGGCAGGATAAGGGTCACAAGGGTCAAAATAAGGGTCATGAGGGTTTGAGTAAGGATTATCAGAGTCATGACGATCAGAATAAAGGTCATAAGGGATAGAACAAAGTCTCGAGGGTCAAATTAAGGGTCACAAGGGCAGGATAAGGGTCGCGAGGGTCATATTAAGGGTCACAAGGGCAGGATAAGGGTCACAAGGGTCATATTAAGGGTCACGAGGCATATTAAGGCTCTCTATATTATAAAAATCCAAGTCGACTTCTAGTGACGAAAATTTGGTACTCGAAGTTGAGACTCTAAAAATCAAGGTCACAAGGGTCAAAATAAATATCATGACGATCAGAATAAAGGTCATAAAGGACAGAATAAAGTCTCGAGCGTCAGAATAATAGTCACGAGGGTCATATTAAGGGTCACGAGACATATGAAGGTCTCTCTATTATAAAAATCTAAATCGACTAGTGATGAAAATTTTGGGTTCGAAATTAAGACTCCAAAAATCAAGGTCACAAGGGTCAGAATAAGGGTCATGAGGTTTTGAATAAGGGTCATGAGGGTCCAAATAAGGGACATGACGATCAGAATAAAGGTCATAACGGACAGAATAAAGTCTCGAGAGTCAGATTAAGGGTCACAAGGGCAAAATAAGAATCACGAGGTTCAGAATAGTAGTCACGAGGGTCATATTAAGGGTCACAAGAATAAAATTAAAGGTAAAAATAATAGTCACAAGGATCAGATTAAGGCTCACGAGAGTCAGATTAAGGGTCCGAATAAGGGTTAATGGATCAGATTAAAGGTCACAAGTTTCAGATTAAGGGTCACAAGGGTCCAAATAAGGGTCGTGCTGGTAAAAAACCAAGGGTTAGAGACTAAAAGTCACCAGAGTCGAAACAAGGGTCACGAGGGGTATAATGAAGGTCAGATTAAGGATCCAAGTAATGGTCACAAGGGTCAGAAAATAAGGATCTCACGGGTCAAAAAAAGGGTCTCTGCATATCTTTTTTACAATATAAAAATCCCAATCAACTTCTGGCCATGAAAATTTGGCACACGCAATTAAGGGTCAAAATAAGGGTCACGAGGGGGATAATGAGAATTAAAATGAGAGTCACGAGGGTTCGATGAAGGGTCTCAAGGGTCAGAAATAAGCATATGATATCATGGGGGTCATATGGGGATCATATTGATGTGGGTCATGTTCAGGTTTAGGTTTTCCATTCAATTGTTTATGTGTAAAAACAGAGTGAAATCGCTTCATTCTTTTCCATCACTTGACCACTCATTTTGCAACAATGAAATGTTATTGTTGTCGTTAGTTTTGTTTACCGATGTTTTTTTTAGGAATTCTGAGTGGCTCTTTGGGGCAAAATTGCGCGTTCAAAGCCTTTCGCTTCGGCAAACCCTGGGACTCGGCCTTTTTAGAGTGCTGTGACGAGGCAACCGCCTCATCATCAACGACGAATGATGATCACAGTGTATCTTCTGGAAGTACTACGAACATGACAGTAACCACTCCTTCGAGTGTCTCCACCGATTCAACGGATTCCAGCGAAGGCTCGTCTACGCAAGAGTTGACTTCGTCTTCTACGAGTGACGGGAATGTATCAACACCTGGTAAATAGTTCGGATATCAATTCAGTAGTCAAGTCAATTCTCCAAGTTTCATTTTCTTTAAAATATTGAATATCGAATATTGATGAGGGAGAATGTAATTTTTTTACATTTTTTTAAGTTTCACTAGGTAGTTGCGAGAAAGATTTTCTGTGATTTTCTCCATTTTGGGATATGATAGTATGGTGTAAAGCTAGAGGGGCCTAAGGGTTGAGTGTAGGGATGTGAAAATGACCGTAATTTTGTTTTCGTCTGATCTTTGTACAAGATACCGCAGGTACTCACGTATGAAAAAATTGTATAGAAATTTTCTATACGAGTTATTTCTATACATGAATTTTTACATAAATTTTTGTTTTCATACGAAAGATGTCTAAACGCTCCAGAGAAAAACGTAGAGAGACGTCGCAACTCCATATGAAATGTTTCTATATGTGTGGCAGTGGATCGTATAGGATCAAACCTATAGAAATCGTATAGAAAATTCATTTATACTGAGAGAAAAACAAACACGTTGTCAAACAAGTCTTGTTTGGGTCAACAAAATCGCTAGTTGAAAATTCCCAAAAAAGAATTCGTTTGGTTCGGATTTGAGAGTCTCAAACATGAATAATTGTTCTACTTTCGACAGCAACGAAATATTTGGCTCAAGAGGCGGATAATTCACACCAGACAGTGCCTTTTCAGGATGAAAATATCTCATATACAGGAAAATTTATCAACAAATATTTCATCCCTAAGTTACAAGATTGCTATCATATCATTATTATTGTTTAATTTAAGGCTTCATTTCTTGTCTGTGATTATTAGACAGCCGAAACGAGAAACTACTATCCCTTGTTTCGCATAAAACAAAGATTTTTTGGGAGCAAAATACGTATGGGAGTATCGAATAACGAAGGAGTAGTGCTAGAAATGACATTTCTTGCGTGTACAGAGAATGAAATTTTTTTTTAAACTACTAAATCTAGTTTTGCGACAAAAATTTTCCATTCCGGCGCACTCTCCGCATGTTTGGCGCAAAAAAATCCTTTTTTGATCATTTTCACAAAACTATTTTCTTGGCACAAGTAAGACTTGTTTGAGAACTTTGACGTTTTTCTCTCAGTGTACGATTTCTTCATACGTGCTTGTACGAAAGTATCTTGTACGGTGACTGAACTGCAATTTTTTATACATGACAGTTATCAACTTCATTTGAAATAATTGATGGGATCAAACTCAAAACATGAGTGAATAATTAATGATTCCTCCAGTTCCAGACGACTTGTGTAAGATGTTCAAAGGTCTCCTCTGCTCCCACATTTGCGTGCCAACCCCAGGGTCTTATAGTTGCGCGTGTCCCAAAGGGTACGTCTTACTCGAAGACGAAAAAACGTGTCGCACGGATGGACCAATCACCGAATCCTCCTCTTCCTCGTCGGCGATGCCCACCGAGTCGACCTCATCCACGGCGACGGATGGATCCTCACCAACGGAGGCTTCGTTGCGCTGTCCCCTAGGCTACCGCTACAATCCATCCACCAATGTCTGCAATGGTACGTAATCAATCTCTCAGAATTGTGTCTCAATTGTCCTCTGTGCAATGTCCGGAATGCTTTGCTGTGCTAATTCGTTCAGTTTATGATAGCGAGATATCGGTGGGTATCACGAGGGTTGTTTAGCTCGGAAATGTGGGGGGAGGCTCATGCATTTGTTGAAATACTCTCCTAATAATAGGACCGGAGGATTATGAGGAACACGAGGATGGACAGCAGACGTGCCCACCTGGTTACCAGTGGGATCAAGAGATTCACACATGCGGAGGTAATCAGATAAACCCATTATTCATCAAAATACGAAGTATTAGCATGTGCGGTGTGATGGCGCTTAGCGAAAAAAAAGTTTTGGGTTTCCAGTATCAGCATACTTCTTATTTCTGGATTTCAGTACTCCGTGGTACTCTGAGAGGCAAAAGTACTGCTACTGGAAAAGTGAAAATCTACTGTTTTTGTTGGATTTTTCAGTAGTGAAGTGGTCAAACGGTTTAAGGAACTTCGGCAGCAAGTATACTTGGTGAAAATTTCGAAATGGTATAAAGACGCAATATTTGGATCATATGTTGTTGAGCACATGAATGTGCATATGTTGTTGAGCACATTCAAAAACCATTCCCAAAATTTCAAGTACCTTGTCCACCCCATTTTCGAGATATACATCGTCAAAAATGGAAAAAACACAAAAATTGAATGTTTGGCGATGCATATCTCAAAAATGGGGTGGACCAGGGACTTGAAATTTTGGGAATATCTTTTTAATGTGGTCAACAACATATGATCCAAATATTGCGTCTTTATACCATTTCGAAATTTTCACCAAGTATACTTACTGCGGAAGTACCTCAAGTCAATTCCATTCTAGCATCAGTTCTCGAGGAATATCTCGAATTCTAAAGGAGTTGGCAAAATTTTCCTAAAAATCTTGTTTGGAGAATGACTAGGTTTAGGGTGGATGTGGAATGAAAATGTGGAGGGAGATGTTGGGAAAATTACTGATGAGCCGGATTTAAAAATCACACTTTATTTGTCGGATCGAACCACGTTAGTCGGAAAATTATGTACACGTCTTTGGTAATATACATGTAAGTTCACTGGTGATAGTCTAATTTCACTGATAATTGTCTTTGCAAGTTAATTTGGTGAATCACTGAATTTAAACTGAATTTAATCAAAAGAGGTGATGTACTGAACAAAGGTATTAAATTTTGAATGCTATTTGACTGAATCGACTATGTCATTATCGTGACGATACTGAAACACAACTAAACGACTGCTCGATATGATCTCTTAATAATGTCGATTAATACTCGTTAATAACTATTCGGTGAATTACTACACGTTGAATTACTCGTTGAGTTCTACTTAATACTTGTGGACTAGTTGAGAGACTACTAGGGTAAACTGCCCAGTAGATGGACGCCTAAGAAAACCGCCCAGTAGATGGACGTTTGTTTTTTAGCAATTGAAAAAAAAATTGATTTAAAAGAAATCGTCATTCAGGGGTTAAGAATCACAACAGTTAGTGAAAATTCAAAGCAACAATTCACATTTCAGTATTTTTTTGCGTAATTTCCTATCCAAAAGCAGCTCGTCCATTTATAGGGCAGTGTCCATCTACTGGGTAGCTTACCCTACTTAGTTGATGTGAACTCGTTGAAATACGAATGGATATTACTTTTCGTTTTTCGCTACCGGGTGCCACACTGACCGTGACCCGAAGGGTCACGGAGATTTTCGGAGATGGCCGAGGTAGTCGACCGTGAACAATATGGAGATTTTAGCTGCGTTTCAAACAAATCTTTTTTGTAAACAAAAGTGAAGACTAATGAAAAATATCTTACACAAATTTCGCTATCTTTCTTACATTCCGAGTTATTCAACGAAAACTCAGATGGGAGCTAAGTCGACTTAAACCGATTGACCACTTCACTACTGATTTTTCTTTTAGAAAATGTCCAATGGAAACTATTATATTGAAAAATTAGTGGAATTTTTTATTCATGATTTTTACTATTGAGACATTTTTTATAGGAATTCCAGTGATTTTTTCTACAGAATATTTTCATGTAAACTGCCGAATTTTCCAATAGAATTGGTCGAAAACTAATAGAGAATTCCATTGAACTTTCTAGCAATTTCGTTAGATTTTTCTATGAATTTTTGTAACATGCAGTATTGAAGTCCAGAGACAAAAAGTATTGGATTCCAGTGGAATTTCTTTGAGAATCAGAAACAAAGCTCTAGTTCTCGCTAATTTTTTCTGAAATGTAGTACTCATGATACGAGGACAAAAATCAGAATACATCAAGGCACTCTGGTTCTGGAACTAAGTATTTTGAGTTCTTAAAATAAAAACCGTATTTTTTATTTTGTTGAATAATGAAGAAATCATAAGCTACATAAAGCATTGTGGCGTAACAACTCCTCGATTTTTCATGATTTCTTCCAATAAAAACGTACGCATCAAATATTGTTCATTCTGTTTTCATATTTCATCATTTATTCAACAAAAAAGTACATGTAACATCCGAATTATCTTGAATCGTATCAACTTCTTACTGAAAACCGGTGGTGTAATCAATTCGAGTACTTGAATGTTCTATTTACCGAGTATTTCAGATATTGATGAGTGCTCCGATCCCGAGACGATATCATGCCCCAGTGAGACTCATTTTTGTGTGAATACTCAAGGGAGTTTTACCTGTCACGAATTATCTACTTCAAAATCGTGTCCTGCTGGGTTCAAATTCGAAACTGTTGAGAAAATATGTAAAGGTAAATTTCATAAAACGGATTCTAATCAGGGATACGAGATGCCGTCACGTTTTGAAAGCCTTCGGGTGACGGAAGTCGACCGATCATTCCAAATCGAATTAATATTTAATATTTCATATTTAATATTAATCCAATTAATATTAATATTTATATATTAATATTAGTATTTCCCTAATTGAATTAATTAATTTCAATTTTTAGCGAAATTTATTGCAAGAAAAATACACGAAAAAAATTATTATCTTACTATAGGCCATCGCCTGAGGGGCTTCAGCCAAAAATAATCGAATTATTTAAATACAATTTCATTTATGATGGATGATAAAACAAAAATAATAATTAGCCACGAATATTTCAAATAGTAATTTTAAGGCCCGGGTGTACTGTCTTTCGAATGTTATCTGTATTTTCTTTATCTTTTGTAAACCAAAATTATTAATTGAGTGGTACATCATGTAGAAATTCCCAAAAATCATGAGAGAATGGTAAAAAAAATTAGAAAAAATTCTGAACTTTTTCAAAGAGCGTTTTTAATTGAGATTCAGAGTGAGTTGAAAAAAGTGGAAATTACAAATATCTGATTCGCTGTGGCAACTTATCTATTAGCTGTCATTTTCCATGGTGGATAACGAAACACTAACTCCTCATGGCAAGTGACAGCTACGTATCTCAATTTTCAAAAAATTCTCCAAAATATTACAACTTTTTTCAAAGAGCCTTTACCGTAATAAATGTCTCTGTGCAGTGTGGGAAAAGATTTACGAAATCAGTCTTCCCCCTGCACGATATTGGGTGACAGACCGCCATTTGTCACCGTAAATCAGATACTTTTTTCAATTTCTTGTTATTCAATTTATTCTGAATATAAATTAAAAATGCTCTTTGAAAAAATTAAGAATTTCTTCTACTTTTTTTTTATTATTCATTCGTAATTTTTCAAAACTTCTGCGTGATGCAGGACTGAATTGACAATTTCAGATGACGAAAGATGAAAAGCAACATTGAGATAACGTTTGAAAGGTCTGGGCCTTAATTCGAATTAACTAGTAATTCGCCCAGTGTCACATTCTGATATTCATCGCATTCCCAATAAAAAAAATATTATCAAACCTCCCCAGACGTCGACGAATGCGCTGAAGGTCTTCACGGTTGCCTCCCGGAAGTAGAATCCTGCCGGAACACAGAAGGCGCCTACGAGTGCGACATCCAATGCCACAAGGGCTTCACCTTCAGCCGCAACCTGGGAATCTGCATCGGTAATTCACTCCCACTCAACCCCACCAACACAGAGACGAAAAAGTTTTGATTTTCTGGGGCACTTCCATTGATTTTCAGGGACATGTCACTGATTTTTAGGAATTTATCTCCAATTAGTGGGGATTCGTGATTGGAAAATTCAGCATCTGCAAAATTTTGAACTTCAGTGATCTTTTCACGGATAAAAAAATTTAATAGAAAAATTCAGCGAATTCACTAGACACTTCTAGTGGATTTTTATTGAACTTTCTTTTAGTTTTTGTCCTCTATTGAATTCTATTGAAATGTTTAATAGAAAATATTCTACAGAAAAAGTCAACATAATTCGATTTTTCTATACAACTTATTCTATTGAGATATTTTTATAGAATTTCATCTGCTCAAATTTTCGAGGGTTTTTTCATTCTATTTTTTTTTTGGCTTTTCACGAAGAAAAAGAGGTGCTTGCCTCTACTATAGTGAGAGGATGTAACCAAAACGATTAGAAGAAAAAGAAGAAAATTAAAGAAAAAAACGTGGAAAATTTGAGCCGAGGAAATTCTACAGAAAATGTTTGAATAGAAAGAGTTGTATAGAAAAATTGAATTCGATTAACTTTTTCTATACAATATTCACTATTGAACTGTTCATTAGAATCGGCCAAAAACTAATGAAAGGTTCAATATAAATCCAATTCTTTTGAAAGATTGAAAAGACGTATATAAAATGAAAACAATTGAAGCGGGCATCGAAGCCCATGACCTTTTACTATCCAAGCGAGTGCTCTTAAATTGAGGAATGAGTTAATAATGGTTGATAAAACCTAATTTGAATATAAATCCAATGGAATTGTTCATTGTTTGCGAATTCGCTAGTGTTTTCTATGAAATTTTTTCGTACGTGTTCACCAAATTTCAGTGACATTATCACTAATTTCCAGCGACACTATTACTAATTTTCAGAGCCATCGTCAATAATTGATTTTCAGGGATCCATCTCCAATTCTCACAGTAACGTCAGTGAATTTTACAGACCCATTTCTTATTTCTGGGAAGCTATTACCAAATCAAATTCAAATAAAAAAAATTTGATAATTTTTGTTCATCAAATTTCAGTGATAAAAATCTCTGATGATCAGGCTCATTCTAGTCAGTGTCCGGTATAATTGGTTATAAATTCCTGCAAATCAACATGTTCCTAAAAAGCAATAACATGCCCCTGAAAACAAATTTTTTTTCTCTAAAAAACTCCGCATAACACCTCATAAATTCCGAAAACTAACAGGTGCACGTGGCATGACGGAACTTGGACCGCCCCGCATGTGAGTATCCCGTCTCCCAAATCATCTCCAGCAACTAATCCCCCTGATTCCCTCAAAGACATAGATGAGTGTGCGAACGGCAAGTTCGTATGCCCCAGCGACAAGCCGACATGTGTCAATGGTGCCGGGGGGTACAAATGCGTTAAACAAGAGACGCCCCGTCCAGACGACGATGACGACGTGGAGAACATCAACGCCAATGAAATCTCAAATCCTGAGAACGGAGGAAGTTCAATGAAAGAGAGTCCTCTTCTCCCGCAGAAGCAATATCAAACTTCTGAGGTGCGTCATGGAACCGTTTATTGCAATTTGCATGTACAAAAACCTAGCGAATTCGTTATCTCAATAGAATAAGTTGTACAGATAAATCGAATTCTATTGCCCTTTTCTGCAGAACATTTTCTATTGAACATTTCAATAGAATCGGCGAAAAACTAATAGGAAGTTTGTATAGTTCTTACAGTTTAAAATAGAAATCCAATAGAATGGTCTAGCGAATTCGCCAGGTTTTTCTATAAAATTTGTTTCATCCGTGAATGAATGAATCAGTGAAGTTAATATTGAATAAGTCTCTGATGTACTGAATGTTTTAATTCTAATCTAGATTTCATCATTGTTTTGGCTAAAATATTTCCAATTTATATCACATTTCATATTGCAAATCTTGTTGGTAATTCGATACGAATAAAAAGAGAATGCTCTTCTCCTTCCGCAGAAGCTGCGATCTGAGAATGAAGGAATTTCAAAGAAAGAGAATACATTCGCCCTCCTCCCGAAGAAATCTCAAACTTCTGAGGTGTGTATTGGAATTATTTATTGCAATTTTAATCGAACGAGTATGAATTAGTGAAGTTAATATTTTATAAGTCTGTGACCTATTGAATGTCTTGATTCTAATCTAGATTTCATCATTGTTACGGCTAAAATATTTTCAATTTATATCACATTTCACATTGCAAATCTTGTTGGTGCTTCGATTTGAATAAAAGAATATGAATGCGTATTATGAGGAAAAGAAAATGCTCTTCTCCTTCCACAGAAGCTGCGATCTGAGAATGAAAGAATTCCAAAGGCAGAGAATGCACTTCCCCTCCTCCCGAAGAAATCTCAAACTACTGAGGTGTGTAATTGAATTATTCATTGCAATTTTAATCGAACGAGTATGGATTAATGAATCAGTGAAGTTGATATTCTATAAGTCACTAATTTATTAAATGTTCCAATTCTAGTCAATTTTAGCATTGTTTTATGATATCGATAATTATGAGTAAAGAGAATCCGCTTCTTCTCCCACAGAAGCTACGATCTGAGAATGAAGAAATTTCAACGAAAGAGAATCCTCTTTTCTTCTCGCAGAAGCTTCATTCTATGAACGAAGGAATGTCAAAGGAAGAGAGTCCTCTTCCCCTCCCGCAGAAGGCATCTCCAACTCTTGAGGTGTGTGATGAAACTGTTTATTCTCATTTTAATAGAACGGAAATCAATGAATGAATTAGTGAATTTAATATTCAATAAGTCTCTTATCGATTAAATGTTTCTATTGTCGACAAGATTTCATCATTATTTTGATCAAAATATTTTCAATTTATACCACATTTTATGTTGCAAGTGTTCTTCTTCATGATTTCATACAAATTAAAGAATAAGAATGATATATGATTAAAGAGAATTCTCTTTTTCTCTCACAGAAGCTTCGATCTGAGAACGAAGGGATTTCAAAGAAAGACAGTTCTCTTCTCCTCCTGCAGAAGCAATCGCCAACTCCTGAGGTGTGTGATTAAACTGTTTATTCCAATTTTACTTTTACGCACTTTTTTCCCATTCTTTAAATTACACTGCAGTAAAGCCTCCGAAAAATTTGAAAAAATTTGAAATCTCATTTTGCAGTGTCTAGAAGCCCTATCAATGGACAGATCCGCCAAAAATACCATAAGTAGTTGGATTTTAAAATTTTTGTTTCGAAACTCCGGGCCGTGTACCGTTTGTAACGTTAATTTTCAGAAAAACATGGCAACTTTGAGCTTGAATATACCGTAGAGGCTTCGTATAAGGTACCTCTCTATGAGGTACCTCAAGCTCCCGAATGTTTATGTACCGTGGGCTTCTTCTAAGACACCTATGGTCCCGGTCATTTTTCAACGGGAAGACAGTAGTTACACTGAGAAAAACAATTTCTAAGAAATAGAAATTCTATGATTGATCCAAATCGTTCATCGATTGAATAGTCGCAAATGAAAATGCTATTGTAAGACACAAATATCGATTTGAACTAAACCAAAATTGGATTGTATGAAATCGATTTTGTTATAGTATAGTATATTTTGTTTATTCTATCGAATTTAGAAAATACTTGTTTTTGCGACAAAATCGATTTCATACAATTCAATTTTGGTTTAGTTCAAACGCTTCGGATTTGGCGCAAATAATTTTTTTTTCACAATTGCAATGGAAAAATAATCAGTTCAAATGATGAAGAATTGCGTTTGTCGTAAACAAGAAAGTACTCACCGCGAAAGTCTCGCATCAATGAGTGTCCAACAACATGTTCCTCATAGACCAAATGAATATGTTATTGCATCTATGAATTCTGCTTTCAATCGAACAGATATTCTTTTGCGGGATATCGTGACGCTGATAAATTGGATAATTACATGCTTTATTCGAAGAAGATATCTGATAATACAGACATTGATTTGTATGTACTGAAAAGTAGATAGTAACAAAAAAAAAGTTTAGATAATTGATCTCATTCTTTTTCAATCGAAAACATTAAAATTAAATCGATATTTGTGTCTTACAATAGCATTTTATTTTGCGACTATTCAATCGATGAACGATTTGGATCAACCATAGAATTTTTATTTCTTGAAATCTTTTTTTCTCAGTGTATAAGGATCAAACGGTGTTAAGGGTCAAACGGGAGGGACGAACGAAGTGATCATGAGGGTCTAATGATCTTGGGGGGGGGGGTTCCCACCACTTTTTTCAAGTAATGGAAATATACATCGATTTTTTTTTCACTTTTCCCATCGATAAATCGTAATTTTTCGTCTGTGATTATTCTCGAGTTCACCAACAATCCCCCAAAATCAGCTGCCATTCTATCACGCGGGGTTATGTTGAGAGAGAAAAGGGGACGCGAGCGATACAAATTCAAAACATTAAACACATATAAATTGATTAATTATCGATATTCATTCAGTAAAAATGAAAATTTCATTGAATTCGGGCGCAACAAGCGAGGTATCTTATTTGAAACCCGCCGATCCCTATTTTTCTCCTCTCTATGGTCTATGGCCGCGCGTAGTGGGGGCACAGGGGTTCCCCGAATTCCACTCTTCTACTGTCCCTAAGGTATCTTATACGAAGCCTCTACTGTATAATCAACGGTAAGACTGAACATAAAAAATCTCACGGGACTTTTTCAAGTATACGATCTCGATCACTCTTGATTTTTTTCAGATTTTTCCGAGATCTTTCAAATTTATCATTATGTCGATTTATGCTGGTGCGGCGCGATCAACGGCGTTCGTAACGTTTGCGCGACCAACAGAGCGTTGAATGTTTCAATTGTACTAAAGATTTCATCACTGTTTTGGCCATATTGTTTCCAATTCATATCACATTGTATATTGCAAGTTTTCTTAGTAATTCGATAATAATAATTACAAATAATTGACAATTGAGTTCTAACCTCAACAACTTATTTTCATATGAGGTTTTCCATGCCAAATGAGTGAACGGCTAACCCTCACCCTCTTGAAAATTGATAGCGATTTTTTCTACGATTAGGGCGCTTGAAAAACTATCAAATTTTTTCAGATTTTTTCGGGAGCCCAGTTCGGAGATATGATTTTTTTTAATTTTATCGGTTTTTATTCAATAACTCGAGTTCTATTCGTTCGATTCCGATTTATTAAGGGTTAAAATTTTCCATTTTTTACCACCTATAAGAATAATTTTAGTAAAATTTTTTTTCCAATCTCTAAATGCTCAAAATAAATTTTCGAAAAAAAAGTTGAAAAAGTTGAACTTTGCTGATTACGTCACGCTCGATTTAAAAAAAAAAATTTCCAGTAATTTTTATAATAAAACAGAGTATTTTGAGCCGTCATACATGTTGAGTTTCGTCCCGAATATATTTTATTTTTAATTTTTTCTTTTCGAAACTCCGCGAATTCGCTCGAAATACCCCAAAAGCGCGTTGATTGACTTTGATTATAAACAGTATGAAGTCAATTTAAATGTATACCTATATATTACATATTTTTTCGATACATCATCAAAGTCATTTTGGAATGTTTTCACCAAATTTGCGGAATTTCGAAGAGAAAAAATTGAAAATAAAATTCCGGACGAAACCCAACATTTATGACGGCTCAAAATACTCGGTTTGATCATAAGAATTAATGGAAAAAATATGAAAAAAATCAATCGTGACGTAATTTGCAAAATTCAACTTTTTCAACTTTTTTTTTTGAAAATTCGTTATTTGGAGCATCTAAAAATTAAGAAAAATCTTTGCTAAGAATATTCTTATAGGTGATGAAAAATTGAAAATTTTGACCTCTAATAAAGTTAAATCGGATGAGTAGAATTCGAGTTAATGAAAAAAACCGGATAAAATTAAAATCATATCTCCGAACTGGGCTGTCGAAAAAATCTGAAAAAATTTAAGAACTAGTTTTTCAAGCCCCCCAATCGTAGAAAAAATCGCCATCAATTTTCAGGCGGGTGAGGGTCAGTCGTTTACTCATTCGGCATGGAATACCTCATATATTCTGAATCACCTGACACAGGCCATTCGAATGACCTTTCATAACCGCAGGTGCAACGGCCATCGGGGACCCTGAGGAGACCCTGCCCCCCCGGTTACCGTTTCAACGGTTTCAAATGCGCCGACATCGACGAGTGCTCGGAGGGTCCAGGCTGTCAGGAGCACGAGCGCTGTTCCAATCGTCTCGGGGGCTACGACTGCCGCCTCCTCTGCAACGCAGGCTGGTACTTCGACAGGACCTCGAAGACCTGTCAGGACGTGGACGAGTGCCTCCTAGGGCGCCACAACTGCTCCCAGCCGACCCACTCCTGCCACAACACAAACGGCTCCTTCGTCTGTCTCCCAGTGCCCCCATGTGCCCCAGGGTATCGCAGAGGCCTCGACAGGTCCTGCGTTGACGTAGACGAGTGCCTGGATCATCTCCACAATTGTCGACTGGAGTATCACCAGTACTGCGTGAATAGGCCCGGTGGCTTCGACTGCATCACTCGTCTCCCTGAGTGCGAGGATGGGTACAAGTACTCGTTGGTCACCAGAGGCTGCGAGGATGTCGATGAGTGCAGGAATCCCGCGGGCTCCCCCTGCGATCATCGGCTGCAGGAGAGGTGCGTCAACCTGAAGGGGTCCTTCAGGTGTGAACGACCGGCTGAAGTCGTCAGCCCTCAGAGGAGCAGACCTGCTTGTCCTCCTGGGTATCGGTATGATGTTATGAGAAGACAATGTCACGGTAGGTCTTGGGACACTCCATTAAGTTGGTATTTGCGGACTTTACGGATACATTTTTCGTGAAACCCACGCAAAAACTAATCTCATTTTTTATCACCTGTTCGTAAAGTGAAATTTTACTTTATAACGTTGTATCTTTGATGGAACGTTATCTCCATTATTTTTCCATCCTCACAATCTAAAATATATCACGATTTCCATAGGATTTATGTCACGCAGAAGTCCCCCCAAAGAAAATTATTATTGTACAATTTAAAAAAACAGGAAAAAAACTGAATATTTTCAAAAAGCGTTTTTATTATAATAAAGACTAAGAAATTGTAAATGGATCATTTATCATGGCAGTTAACAATCTGACAGCCATTGGCTACTGTACCAAATGACCATATCAAACAACCAATAGAAACCAATAGATACAGATTATTAATTTGCAATGTCCTCCCTATTGAGTTTATTTCAGTTTTTACTTCCGAATGGAAGCATTGTTTTTTTTTCAACGTCTTCAACGTTCAGGCGATCTGTGAACGGAGGCGCATTCACACACGAATCCATCTTCACACAGATCGAGAATAAATCCCTAGAATGACTTAAAAATTCATATAATAAAAATGTATGTTCTTTTATACTTTATATTATGTAATATTTGATGAAATGAGGATAAAAACGGGAATCGATGTGGAAATGGAAAATATGGGGAACAATTTTCCAAGAACGATTTTCAGGGGAACATTTGTGTACGTCCACGTGAAAAGGGCCCACTTTGTCGCATTTATTTTGCGAGATATTCACGTTTTTGTGTTCACACCTTCCATTTAAACCAATGTTAAACTGATTTTTTGATCTTCTATACCGACGTCATTTTTCATACTATCGTGTTAATTTTTGGCTCAAAATGTGAGGAATTTACTAAGATTATCGGAATGTACGTAACTCCAAACCGACAAAGTGGGCCCTTTTCATGTAGATGCCCACATTTATCGTAGGACCATTCCTACAGATCCATTCGGAAGCTTATTACCAATGGAATTGGTAGAGAGAGAAAGAAAAAAGACTAATAACGCATAAAGTAACGGTCACATGGCTTCTCCCAGGCTATGTAAAAGTGAATGACAATTGGAGAACCTTTCAGATTATAAAAAAAAACAACCAAGATCACGTTCGAAAGATAATACACACGGGTTTAAAATGGAATTCAAATAGAACTCCTCGAAAAAACCAATTTTTCTGTTAACATTTCTTACATTTTTGTTTGTTATTTATTTGAGCATTTTCAACCAATGGGTTTATTCTGTTGAAATTTTCCATATAGTTAGCGATTTTATATGAAATGTCTGGGCCCTTAAAATCGTTAACGGAGTAGTCCTTAAATTCCTACAAATCCATCAAATTTTTATAATAGATTAAACGGGTAAAATAAACAAATGCAATTGCTTCGTGTTCAGATTGAAATTCATCTGATTTTGTTGTTAATGCTTGCCGAATGTGTTTCGTCGTTTGATGTTTTCATGTTCCGGTGATTGTTACGATCAATTCAGTAGTGAAGTGGTAAAACGATTTAAGTCGACTTATCTGCCAGTTGAGTTTTTGAGGAATATTTCTAAATCTAAGGGAGATAGGGAAATTTTCGTAATTACATTTGTTGTAACTCTCAATCGGCTCTATGAAAAACATTTGTTTAGTGAGGAAATAGGTTTAGGGTGGATGTGGGAGCAAAATGTGGAGGGAGATGCTGAAAAATTAATTGCGATACTGATTACAAAAATATCACTATTTATTTGTGGGATCGAACCACGTAATTAAATAACTTCTTTGTACACTCTTTGGTATTAAATTTCCCTGTTGAGTGTCTTAAAATCACTGCTGATTGTCTGCAATTTTAATAAAGTTGAATCACTGATAATAGTTGAATTCAGACTGGTAAAACTGAGGTGATGTACTGAACAACACGTTGATCTTACAAATACTGGTGATGTACTTGGTTACTAGTGAGCTAGGTGAGGTTCAAATTGCTACACGGAGAGAAATATTCAGTAAAAATTACGGAACTTCAATTCACTCACCGATTACGGAATGGACTCAGAGAATTTAAGTGACGGTATCGTAATTTTTCACTGGAGATTCAGATAACAATTACGGAACGTTCTGGAAAAATTCCGTGACAGTTCCGTAAAATTTCCTACAACCACATTTCGCTCTGGAATTCCGGAAAAGATACGTAATTTTTATTGAATATTTCTCTCCGTGTACTGTACTCGGTGAGGTGCGATGTAAGACTAAGGGCTAGTACTAGAAGTCTCGGATAAGGTAACTGGGGATTAAGTTTTCTCTCACTCTTGCGGGTTTGCCTATCTAGGAGAGGTTGGGGTAAAATGGACACTTTTGACTTTTTTTAAAATGACGATGACGGGTTGAAATGTTGATAAAATTTAATAATTTTTACTTCATTATAAAGAACGATTCTTCCCCTTTGTGATGAGCCTAAACTGAGCTGAATTGATAAATTTGTTTCTGAGCTATGAGTAATTAAAAACAAAGTCTAAAGTGTCCATTTTACCCCACTCTCCCCTACTGTCTCTTTTTTTAAACCACAGTTACCCTAACCGAGACTTCTAGTACTGGCCCTAAATTTGGGGGTTTTCACGATCGTCTGACCGCTCAACCGGAGGTTCCCGATGGTACTAGAGTTGAATGTTCTGGAATTTTAGTCGCGTTTCTAACAACATTATAACAAAAATTTTGCTATCTCCCTCAGATTCCGAGATATTCATTGAAAACCGGTCGATAGTCAAAATTGACTTGTACCGTTTTAACACTTGGCTACTGAATTGTATTCATTCAAGCGTCCGTAATGACTTCATGATTGAGAATTGTTTCTTTTAGATATCGATGAATGTAGAGAGAAGACGGACATATGTGGCCATGAGGTATGCTACAATCAACCCGGGGGTTACAGTTGTGCTCAAGCACCAGCTCCGATAACGAATGGACAGATTCGTCAGGAGACGTTACCCACTTCCGGCCCCATGAAGTGCTCGCCGGGTCTGAGATTCGTCAGGAATCGAGGGTGTGTCGACATCAACGAGTGCGAGGAGATCCAGGATGTCTGCACGAGTAATGAGGAGTGCGTTAATACCGTTGGGAGTTATACTTGCAATTGTCGGACCGGATTCAGACGAGATAATTTAACTCAGGTAATTATTTGCACACGCACGAAAAAATTTCATAGAAAAACCCATCGGATTCGTTAGAAAATTCTATTGAATTTCTATTAAACTTACTATTAGCTTTTGGCTGATTCTATTAACATGTTCAATAGAAGACATTCAATAGAAAAAGTCAACAGAATTCGATTTTTCTATACAACTTACTCTTTTCATATATTTTCTATAGAATTTGGTCGACTCGAATTTTCTAATTTTTTTTTATTTTATTTTTCTTTTCTTCTCATCAAGAAAATCAAACGAAAAGACTTGGAAAATTTGAGTCAAGCAAATTCTATAGAAAATATCTCAATAGGATAAGTTATATCGAAAAATTGAATTCTATTGACTTTTTCTACTGAATATTTTCAACTGAACATTTTAATAGAATCGTCCAAAAACTAATAGAACAGATCACAAGAAATTCAATAGAATTGTCTAATGAATTCGAAAGGTTCTATTAAATTTTTTCGTCCGTGCACTGAGGTAAAACTTTATGCTGAATTTATTCACCAAATAATATCATAGTTGTTGAGGTTTATTACTGATACATTGGTGCCCTGCCTTACGGGGGTCCAATTTTTTTTCGAATTCGTAGAATTCAATTGGTAAAGAAATTTTTTCATATGCGCTAAAATTACTATGTGCGCCAAAATAAATCAACGCCGAATTGTATCAGCGCCAAAAAGTAACGTACCGAATAGAAAATATTCTAAAGAAAACTCAATACAATTCGATCTTTCGAATTTGCAACTTATTCTATTGACATATTTTCTCTAGAATTTCCTCGGCTCAAATTTTCCAAGTTTTCTTCATTCAATTTTTCTTTTCTTTTCATCTAGAAAAACAAATAGAAAATTCAAGTTTTATTGACTTTTTCTATAGAATATTTTCTATTGAAAATTTCAACAACAACAATTGGCGTCTATTGACCAAAAACTAATAGATTGTCAATAGAAATTTGTCATACCCGGTGTGGGGGGTACTTATAATTATAGTAGGTTCTAGGCTTGAAGGGATAAATCCCACCAATGGTTTTTCGGCACTTAAATATGAGTATTTATTACTTGCTTATAATTACTGTGTCATCTGCCTGATTACAAAGAGTTTACGACTTTTCTACGACTCGTCCACATTCTCAACAATAACGCAATTGACCAAATCTGGGGAATAACAAATTCAATAAAATTGTGTAGCGAATTCGCTAGATTTTTCTATCAAATTCTTCAAAATTTCCAAAAAGTGTAGGGGAAATTTCCACAAAAATTTGTTAACACAGACACCCTTTCGTGTAATAATTAGTCAACTCAACTGCCTCTTACAGATGCGAAATGACCGTTATTTTTGTGATTGTGTCATATGACCAAAAAATGACGATCTTGTGACGGTCATGTGACGTCCCGAAATTTCTAATGCCAAATGACGGTCACAAATTTTTTTCTGAACGTCACAAAGAATTTTTGACCGTCAAAAGAGTAAAATAGTAACTTCCGTTACCAAACCATCTATATAGGTGCAAAATGACCGTCATAAATATATTGCTTTTTGTGACGGTCATATAATTTCTACATAATTGGCATCGTTTATTCGTTCAATTTATTATTGATTATCAATTATTGGTTATTATAAGGTTCTTATCGAAGACTCGATATGTATGTGTACAACTGAACAACAGCTTTTTTTAATTATAAAATTATGAAACATGTGTTTACATATATTTTTATGCCACTCATGCCTGAAACCGGCTGGATTACACACTCGACGCTTCGCGTCTCGTGTCTAATTGAGCCGGTTTCAGGCTTCGTGACATAAAATTTTGTTCAGTACTTGTGGGGAAATTTCGTCCTTAACGTGTGTGGTTACACCACTCGCCTTCGGCTCATGCTGTAAACCCCACACACGTTAAAGACGAAATTGCCCCACACGTGCTGAAATATACTATTGCATACTCATGAGAGAATGATTACACTTTTCATCTTTGGAACAAAATAAACGAAGTCAAGACTTCTAGATACTAAAGTAAGTAAACAAAGTCAAGAGTTCTAGTTAATTAAAAAAAAAATAGATGAACAAAAAAGTGTTTCATCTATATAGATACAAAATGACCGTCACAGTTTTTCGGCCAATTGTGACCGTCATGGAAAAATTTGTTGTGACCGGACCGGCGGTCATGTGACCGTAAATGACGGTCACATGACGCCATCGCATCTCTACTCTCAGTACCGCCACGTCCCTTGATTTTCCCCCTAGGCCTGCGTCGACATAAACGAGTGTCAACTTCCGAACGACTGTCTCTCAACCCAGAGATGTGACAACACCCTAGGAAGCTACAACTGCGTGAGATTCCTCCCCTGCGGTACAGGCTACACTCTCAACGCAGCGACTGAAATCTGCGAGGACGACGATGAGTGCGTCCTGGGTACTCACGACTGCGGGGAGGGCTACCACTGCAGGAACACCTTAGGTTCCTACCGATGCAATAAGAACCCGAGAGGCTCTCAACAGAATCCCCCACCCCCCAGGACCACAACTCGACGCCCCCCAACAACACTCGCCCCAACGACCACGACGATGATGACTCCAGTAATCGGGTCGAGGAATGAGCCCGAGAGAACTTGCCCGAGAGGTTTCTTCAAAGGAGGTGAATATAGAATACAGAATAAAAGCGGTTGGTGAACGCCTGGGATGGGACACCCCCTGAGGCCAAATAAAAATCTTTAAAAAGTAACGAAAATTTGATAAATGTTGCGTATTCCCCTTCGAATTATTATTTAGTTGTTTATATTCCCAAGGATATAAAAAAAAATCGGGTAACGACTGTCTTTTGGGTACCATGGATATTTGACTCATTCTCTTTAATTGATTGATTGAAGTTTATTGCTGTACATTACGTTGTACAAAATTATGGTGGCAGAGCCAGAGCACATATACAGAAAAAGTATAAAATAGCCAATAGGAAAAATCTCTTAGAGTAAGCAGTTAAAGGCAGAGATAGAAAATTAATAAAAGGAGAGCAAGGCTTCAGCGGGTTCCAACTAAAACAGGGGAAGGAGAAAATTAAGACTCCAAAATTAAGGATGACAAGGGTCAAAATAAGGGTCATGGGATTCAAAACAATGGTCATAAGGGTCAGAATAAGGATCACAAGGGTCAAAGTAAGGGTCGCGAGGGTCAGAATCACGGTCATGATGGTCAGAATAAGGATTACGATGGTCAGATTGAGGGTGCAAATGAGTGTAACAAGGGTCAAATTAAGGGTTAAAATAAGGGTCACAAAGGTCATATTAAGGGTGAAATGGGTCGCATTAAGGGTCCAAATGAGTGTAACAAGGGTCAAATTAAGGATCTAAATGAGGATCGCAAAGATCAGGTTAAAGGTCACAAAGATCAGATTAAATGTCCAAATAAGGGTCATGAGGATCAGAAAGTAAGGGTCACAAGGGTAAAAATAAGGGCCTCCAGCTCTTTATATTATAAAATCCAAATCGACATCTGGTGATGAAAATTCGGTACTCGAAATAAAGACTCTAAAATTAACGGTCCGAAATGACGGGTCAAAATATGGGTCACGAGGGGTATAATACGGGTCAGAATGAGGGTTACAAGGGTAAGATTAAGGATCATATGGGTCACATTAAGGGTTCAAATGAGTGTAACAAGGGTCAAATTAAGGATCTAAATAAGGATCATAAGGATTAGATTAAGGGTCACAAAAGTCAGATTAAGGGTCCAAATAAGGGTCGTGGGGGTCAGAAAGTAAGGGTCACAAGGGTAAAAATAAGGGTCTCTACCTCTCTATATTATAAAATCCAAATCGACATCTGGTGATTAAAATTTGGTACTCGAAATTAAGACTCCAAAATATGGATCACGAGGGGTTATAATAAGGGTGAGAATGATAGACGTGAGGGTCAGATTAAGGGTCACGAGGATCAGAATAAGGATGCTGGGATTATATGGGGGTCATATAGGGGGGTAGCCCCCTAGTAGTTGATAAACCGCCCCAACTATTTCATTAACCTGTGTTGCCTTCATTTATCGTTGGCCATAACAACATTAAGAAATGTTAAAAAATTAAATCAATTTTTACCTAAAATTTTGACCTGAAGACATTCTCTAATGGTTGGCACTAGATTTATTTATTTATCGTCATTTTCAACTCGCGGGGCGAAGAAACATTTCTTTTCTGTCACTGTATTCAGCCGATTCACATCTAACGTAAAAAACCAACGAATAAAAAATAATCCCCGCTTCTCAGGTAGTGGAGAGTGCATAGACATCGACGAATGCGCCCTTGGGCCGTCGAACCCCTGCAGTCAGTCCTCTCTCCAACAATGTGTCAACACTATAGGCTCCTACCGATGCGTCTCGCGAGTCATTTGCGGTGCCGGCTTCACCCTGGACCCGAAAACAAATTCCCATTGCGTTGATGTCGATGAATGCGCCGAAGGCACTCACAGGTGCAAGCCCAGGCAGACCTGTGAGAACCGTCCAGGTGGTTACGCCTGTGCCTGCCCCCCAGGACACGCTCTCACCGCCAACAGAGACTGCGTTGACATCGACGAGTGCAGCATCTACGCCAGGAGCATCTGCGGTGCCACTGGAAAATGCGAAAACACTGTTGGATCCTTCAAGTGCATTTGTGACTCGGGTTTCGCGAGGATCGAGGGGAGCAATGCCTGCGAGGACATCAACGAGTGCCAAAGGGTCTCGGGAATCTGCCAGCATGACTGCATCAATGTCTGGGGGAGCTACAAGTGCATCTGCAAACCCGGGTACAGTCTCAATAATGACAATCGCTCCTGCAGCGATATCGATGAGTGCCAGATGTTCAAGGATAATAATCTGTGCGTGGGCTTCTGCGATAACACCCCGGGAAGCTATTCCTGCAGGTGTCCTGATGGCTACAGACTGGGGGAGGATGGGAGAACGTGCCAGGATATCGATGAGTGCGCCGCTGGAGCGGTCTGCAGGGATCCCAGTGACATGTGTCAGAACACCAGGGGCGGGTACAGGTGCAACAGGATTCAGTGCCCTCAGGGGTATCATCGGGACCAGGAGAGGAAGAAGTAAGTCGTTTGGCTGATTCATTTCTGTTGAGTCTGCGTTTCTTTTGCAATTGAGAGTTGAAGCGTATTGAAGAATTCAATAGAAATTCAATGGAATTTCATAACATGAAAAATCGCATTTTTATTCCGTTCGATTGAAATGAGATTAAAGAGATGAAAAATTTTCATATCCATTGACATTTAAAAGAAAATCTGTACGTCTTGATTTAAGGAAAAAAAAATATCAATCAAAAAAATGATCAATTCCAAAATTTTGACATTGAAAAATGTCAACGGACAGACATTAGAAAGACATTAGAAAGAGTAGGTGTTTATCTTAAAAGTAACGTATTCAGTCATGGTCAATTATACGTGGCATTGTCAAAAGCGAGGGCAAGTGAAAAATTGAAAATATGCGTGATGAAGGAGGTAAAATAAAAAATGAAGAAGACGGAAATAGTTATATGAAAAATGTAGTGCATAAATAAATTTTTGAACAACAATGTAATTGTAAAAAGTATATAGATCATCATCCCAAAAAAAGTATCAATACTCTCCTTAATATTTAACATAAATATGTCTTCATTTGAAAATCAGAAAAACTGTTCCCACAATTTGTATACTATAATGGGAATAGAATCCAATAAATTTAATTTAATCTAACCGCAAGGAAAAATTTGAAAGAAAACAATCAAATAAATTAATATAATAGGGGAGGGGAGGGCAAAATGGAGCATGAAAACGTAGAGGCTAATTATGAGTGTTTTTTGGTAAAAATGACTTATATTTGAGGTAAAATATGGCTCCAGCATGAGTTGAAATCACATCAATTCAAAAAAAATAATTGAAGGACAAAATGGGAATGCCCCAATTGAAATACCTCAAAATTGCGTTGATTGACTTTGATTATAAATAGTATGAAATTAATTAAAATGTATACTTATATGTTACGTATTTTTTCGATACATAATCGAAGCCGTCTCAGGGTGTTTTGACCAAATTCGCGGAATTTCGACAAGAAAAAATTTAAAATAAAATCGGTCCAGGACGAAACCTAACTTGTTTGACAGCTCAAAATACTTGTTTTGATGACAAAAATTCATGAAAAGAATACGAGAAAAATAAAACGTAACATAATTTTGAAAATTCAAATTGTTCAACTTTTTTTTTTTTAATTCGTTATTATGAGCACCTAGGGATTGCAAAAAAAGAATACTCAAAATATTCTTATAGATAGTAGAAAATGGAAAATTTTGATGGGTTATAAATGAAAATCCAATGAATAGAACTGAACTTATATATAAATTCCTTCTTCCAGCCGATGTGTACGCGCCTCCCGCTACTGCCCATCTGGCGACATCTCCTGCTATCAATCACCCTCCCACTTCTCCTTCAACTTCATAACATTCGTGAGTATGCTGCCAATACCCCGCACTGGACAATTGGAACTCTTCACAATGAGGGGAACTCACCTTCCTGGGTCAATAGTGCGATTCAGCATGGCCCTGGTCGACGCTCGAGCACCTCCAGGAGTCACTCGAGCCACTGAGTCATGTTTTGCCTTGAGAAGACCCTCGCCCTCGCAAGCCGTACTCGTTCTGACGAGAAGTCTTCCTGGACCCCAAGAGATTGAACTCGATCTCAGCATGGAAATATATCATGATACAGCATTTGCTGGAAGTGCTGTTGCTAAACTCTTTATTTACGTGACGCAGTTCGAATTTTGAGGGTGTTATAATAGGAAATCACAAGTATTCTCCAGTTTTCTTCCAGTTGTGGAAAGAAATGATGTATAATTTTAAGAAACAAATGCAGATTAATTGTTGAGGAATTGAATAAAATGAACGAATGGTATAAAAAAATCTACGCTGTTGAAAATTTTTGTCTGAAATTCCCTGTACACTTTTTGGAAATTTTTATTGAATTTAATTACCATTGAAATTTCACGGAATTTCGTCGTTGAAAATTCAGAATTTCGTGGAAAAATCAAAGCCAACTGTAAATTTCAGTTCCAATTTCAGTTTCCCTGAAAATAACAGCTGTATCGAAGATACAGCTGTTATTGTACGTGGATACGTCCATGGTCTTTCCTTCTTTCTCGAATTTCCTAGAAACTCCTTGAATTCTCTCGAATTTCCTAAAAACTCCTTGAATTCTCTCAAATTTTCTAGAAACTCCTTGCATTTTTACGAAATTTCAAGAAACTTCTCGAATTACCTCGAAATGTCTAGAATTTTCTAGAATTCCAACAGATGGCGTTGCACATAAGGACCGTTTCCCAAAATGACGCCCCATATTGAAACCATAGATGTATCCACGTCAAAAAAAAAACATTGAACTGATGAAAAACGTGCGAACAACCTCAATATCGATCATTTTCAATATTGCATTAGGTGATAGAAGTATACAGGAAATGAAAAAATCAAATAATTATGTGAAACATTGATTATTATTTGAGATCATTGGTTTTTTCGTTTTCTTTTTTTCGGTCTGTTTCTATTTCATAGAGAGCTGTTTCGTTGTACCAAGGAACATCCTTCACCCAGGAATATCCTCCTTCGCCTTTCACTCGTTTCATTTACATTCCGATGTAGATAAAATAAACAAACACAATATCTACGTGAGGAAACAGAAAACAAGATAACTAACCACAGTCAACAAAAAAAAAATCGAAGGAAAAATACAATAGGGAACTTGCATAATCATAATTCCCTCGATTTTCAATTCTCGAATGACAAAATATTGATTAGCCATCTTTAATTCAACTAACTTTCAACATTCTAGCATATAAATAATTACGATAAATACGTGAGTGAAGGTGTGCAAGTTCCCTATTGATTTAATCATCGCCGAATTAAATACAGCAATGATTACACTGGAATTACTCGCATTGTGCATTATTGTGTCGTATTTTTCATTATCCTATTGTGTCGACTCATATGATGAGTGATTGAATTCATATTGCATCGTCCACTCAACAATTATAATCACAAAATTTCAATGAGATAATGGGAATTCAATTCAAATGGAAACAAAAGGAAAACAATTAAGTAATCATTAATAATCACAGCATTAGTAGGATCGCGTTCTTCAACGGATTTATACACAACGAGTGAGAAAACGTGATAGACTGATTGGAGATCATTGCTATTGCGATGTATTTTAATTCAGTGGTGAATGGAAACGTAAAGAGTTAGTTAATTCATGCTGCGATGGATGTAGAATTATCATTTGAGGAGACATTTTTAATCGGAAATTTTTAGCTCTGAGAAAAGTTTTTTTGAGTTCTTAAATTCGAAGATGTTGAGGGACAACTCATTCTTAAATCGAAGTGAATCACCTCTTCCGGACATTTCATGTCTTGCTAAATACATCTCCATAATTATTTTAATAATTAGATTCTACATGAAATCGCAGAAAACACTTCTCATCAAGAATTTTGTCTTCTACAAAAAAAATTTTCCACCATTTATGGAGTCGTCGAACAATGAGTCATTTTGCTTTGAGTTTAGTTTCTCTTTAAAGAAAGTCTTTGTGAAACTGAAATTATGCTCCCTTGAATTCAACGATATTAACAAAAAATTCCGCCTGAAATTCAATTGAATCATCTCATTTGGAATAGTCAACATCTTCCCGAGCCCTGAACTATATCTCAATGATTCTAGGAGAAGATCACAAAAAAACTTGATTTTTAATCTAAAATTTTCACCTCTATAACAATTTCTTTTGACATTTTCTCTGAATTTTGATGGAAAACTCATCCTCAAATCTAATTGAATCAGCTCTTCTGGGCATTGCACATTTTGCTGAATATCTGAATGCTGAATACTCATCTTGATAATAAATTATTCTGCATGAAATGTTAGAAAACATTTCTCATCAAAAATTTTCTCATTTAAGATAATTTTTTTTTCAGCATTCTTGGGGTTGTGGAACGATGAGTCAATTTTACATTCAATTTAGTTTCTCTTCAACCCTCACCCTTAAATTCAATTGAATCATCTAATTTGGAATATCTAAACCATTCTAAACCCTGAATTATCTCAATAATGATTAATTTTATGAGCAGATGACAAAAAAAATCTCGACATTTTCTCAGAAAATCGTTCATTATCCGCCCTTCAATTTGCAGATGTTGATCGCAAACTCATCCCCAAATTCAATTGAATCATGTCATTTCGAACAATCCAAATCTTTCCAAAACCTGAATCATTTAAATAATGATTAAGTCTACAAGTACATATCAAAAAAAATTTTCAATTGAATCTCTTTCAACATTCCTCCTAAAATATCTCATTACCCAAAAGAATCCAACAAACACACCAAATTTAACATTTTACGTTCAACTCCTTCACCACTGAAATCTTCGTCAATTAGCCAAAAAAAAAATTACCCCTAGCTCTCATCAACATTCGCCCCTATATCAAAGTGGCAGTCGACTCCATCAACATTTAAATCAATATTCTAACGGCGTAACTAGTGATTCCACCAGCGGAAGAGAAACTGAACGAGTATGTCTTCTCTCATCGACTAAAATCGAAAAATATATCCATACCTCACTTTCCATTCCGCCCGTGGAGATAAAGAAAAAAAAAACGTAACGTAGATTGCCTAATTATTCAACAAATCTAATAACACGTACGAATAAATATCCTAGAAGAACATTCACATTCGTTAGAAAGTTCTGTTGGATTTCCATTGGAAATTCTCTCAATTTTTTGTCGAAAAAATCGTTTTTTTCGGTAGAAAATGTTCAACAGAAACTATTATATACAAAAAATAAAGAGAATTTGATGCAAAATCTTCTATTGAGATATTTCAAAATGGTTTTGCTCAATTTTCTCAGCTTTCACTAAAAATTAAGCAAAAAAAAATTGAAAATTCAGGCGTCGGAATTTCTATCGAAAATATCTCAATAAATTGAGTATATACAAATACAATTCTATTAATTATGTTTATAAAATATTTTCTATTGAACATTCCACCGAAATTCTCTAGAAATCCACCAGAATTTTTACACGAATGTGCTAAATATTTCTATGAAATTCGTTCGTACATGAATGCATCATTCCCCAGGAAGACATCAAGATAAACATAATCTCAAGCCCTGACACTTGTCTTGGGATTGGTCGAGATCTCTGAGCATCCGACATTGTTCTCCAGATGAGAAAATTCCCTCGAAGCTCTGCACACGTAATTCAAACGTTCGTACAACTCTGACGTGCATCCACCATCTCTGAGATCATTGAGCCAGTACGACGTCGTGTGTCGAGTGGCATCAATGTAAGTGACGAGATAATCCTTCGGTCGTGTGCCCTCGGAGACGACGATTTTCGTGTGATCGGAGAAGAAATTTACCTGGAGAAGTGGCACTGTCAATTCCATAACAATGGCTTTATCGGTTCGCAGCCAACGACGCATTCGTGGGACAGAGCCATTCCTTCGGGATAACTTGGCTGAACAATTGTCACTGATTTCACCACCGTTTGTCAAGTGGTCGTCCATGTACTCGCTGAAGTGACGCAGGAGCTCGAGTTTCTCGTGGAGGAAGGAGGGAACATCGCGTTCACGTGTGTAACGAGTCACTTCGTCCTCGGGAGTTGTGTATTCCACTCGTCTGGAAGGAGGAAGGGAAAACTTTATTACGTGAAAGGGCATTTTACGACATTGACACGGTATATATACAATGTTTCACTTTTTTCTGTTTGTCGATCGTTCCAGAAGTCGAGGAATTAATTTTTTTAAAGGGATTTATTTCATGATGAGATCAATGGAATGCATTGGAACGTTCTTCATTAATTTTGGATACTATTAGATGAGGTTTAAAAAGAGAGTGAATTTATTCCAATGGCATTATTTTTAATACATTCGCGAATGGATTGATTCACCGAGTTCATGACTTTATGATGAGAAAGGGCATTTTACGACATTTACACTTTATATTTACAATGTTTTAATTTTTTTTGGTTCATCGATCGTTCCAGACGTGAAGGGATTTATTTGTTTAAAAAGATTTATTTCATCTGGAGATCAATAGAGTGTAATTGAACGTTCTTCAGTAATTTTGGAAATCCTTAGATGTGGTTTAGAAGGAGAGCAAATTTATGCAAATGGCATTATTATTTACTCCTTTCTTGAATGGATTAATCCACCAACTATGAAATTTTGTGATGGGAAAGGGCTTTTTACGACATTTACCCTGCTTTAAATTTACAATGTGTACTTTTTTTGTTCATCAACAGGTTTAAGAGTGAACCAATAGACATCTAAATCGACTTTTGGTGATAAAAATTTAGTTCTCGAAATTAAGTCTCCGAAATTAAGGGTCATGAGGTCAGAATAAGGGTTATGAGGGTCAAAATAAGGGTCATCAGGATCAAAATAAGGGGCATGAGGGTAAAGATAAGGGTCATAAGGGTCAATATAAGGGTCATAAGGGCAAAATAATGGATATGGGGGTCAAGATAATGGTCATAAGGGTCAAAATAAGGGGCATGGGGGTGAAGATAAGGGTCATGATGGCCAAAGTAGGTCATGAGGGTCAAAATAAAGGCCATGAGGGTCAAGAGGATCAAGATAAGGGTCATGAGGGTCAAAATAAGGGTCACAAGTCCGATTAAGGGTCCAAATAAGGGTCACAAGGATCAGATTAACGGTTATGTGCATCAGATTAAAGGCCAGATTAAGGGCCCAAATGATGGTAACAAAGATCAGATGAAGGGCCTAAATAAATGCCACAAAAATCAGATTGAGGGTTACAAGAGCCAGAGTAAGGGTTCAAATAAAGGTCATGGGGGTCAGAAACTACGTATCAGAAGGATCAAAATAAGGGTCTCGATATCTCTCTATATTCTAAAAATCCAAATCGACTTTTGCTGATGGAAATTTGTACTCGAAATTGAGACTCCACAATTAAGGGTCAAAATTGAAGGGTCAAAATAACGTTCACAAGAGGTATAACACCAGAATGGGGCCTACAAGGGTCAGAATGAGGATCATGGGGGTCATATGGAAGTTGGCGAGCGGAGCGGGCAGGGGGCGTAGCCCCCTCCTTTATTTATCGTAATTCATTTGATCTTGAGATCAACCAGGTGAACTCGAACCTTCATAACAACCTAAAAATCCCCCTTCGCTCGATAAAAATTCAAACCTTAACATGAAATTGACTCAAATGACATTTCCCTCAATTCATCTCATCAGTGAAAAAAAAACAACAATTCTCCTTACCTTCTGTCGCGAGTGTAACTCATCTTCGTGCTGTCATTAAACAGAACCCCAACCGATCGATCCGACAATTGAAAGCACAGTCCATACTTATTCGAGTAGTCAATCCACTTGGTAACAAACAATGGAGCAAGCCCTTCAATGGGCACTGGGTTCTTGGCAACCCGCGTGTGTCGAATCTCGGCGAGACAATTCTCAAGTGCATGATGCATGAGAGCACTCTCAGAGGACTTCTTCCTGTCAGGACAGAGCAGATTCCCAAACCTCTTCCTCAGCTTCGTTAATTTGGGGAATTTTCTGACCAGCCAATTTCCAACTTTAGCATCTCTATTCTTCTCCCTCTGAATTGGGGGAAGAAGTCGTGCATTGTTCTCCATCAGTTTGGCACTGCCATTGTCGATCAGCTTAATGCCATTCGCAATTGGTGTTTCGATTGATTTGGCCAGTGGCTTTGGCATCTGCTCGATCTGTGGATGCACAACTTTCCTCGACATCGTTGATGTGCACGAAGTCGAGGACAAAGTTGTGGCTGAGGGGAATGAAGTCGTGGGTAATACCAGAGTTTTGTCGTTATTGCTCTTCAATGGCCCTTGGAGACTGGGCTCTGGAGGCCTGTAGCAGCAGGCGTGAGTCAGTTTATCCGGTACAAACTCCATCGTCAAGTAGGCATGCTCTTTAACAGTCTCGAGTGATGGCCTCAACTCCGGAATTGGCTGCAGCAGCCACTTTATCAAATCCTGGCCATTTCTACTGACTACTGTGTCGTTCAGCTTCTTGTAACGATTATTGCAGATTCTTGAGTAGGTTTCCTTCAGTGTCGCTGTGTCGAAGGGAGGCTGGCCCGTTAATAACGCGTAGAGAATGCAACCCAGTGCCCAAACGTCAGCCTCGTAGCTGTATGCCTGTTTGTAGAGCACCTCGGGGGCAATGTAATTCGGTGTACCGCAGATTGTCACTCGGCGCTTTTGACCGTCTGGTCTTGTCGCCAGGCCAAAGTCACCGATTTTCACGATCATCCCGTCCGAGAGGAACATGTTGCCCGGTTTGAGATCTCGGTGAACTACTTTTTGGGAATGGATGTAGGCGACTCCTGTCACCATTTGCTTCATGTAGTAACGAGCCTCGGGCTCCGTTACTTTTCCTCGGTATTTCAGTACGTGCATCAAACTCTGGAATTGAGATGGTGGGAATTAAGGGGCGAACGCATTTCGAGATGCGAAGGCGTGTGTTTTTCACCCGACGAATAGTAAATATTTAATTACATTTCGTTCCACGATTATCTTTCGTACACTGAGAGAAAAACCAACACGTTGTCAAACAAGTCTTGTTTGGGCTAAGAACATCGCTAGCTGAAAATTGCCAAAAAAGAATTTGTTTGGTTCGAATTTGAAAGTCTCAAACATGAATAATTGGTCTGCTTTCGAGAGCAACGAAATATTTGGCTCAAGAGGCGGATAATTCACACCAGACGGTGCCTTTTCAGGATGAAAATATCTCATATAGAGGAAAATTTATCAACAAATATTTTATCCCTAAGTTACAAGATTGCTATCATATCATTATTATTATTTAATTTAAGGGTTCATTTCTTGTCTGTGATTATTAGACAGCCGAAACGAAAAACTACTGGCCCTTGTTTCGCATGAAACAAAGATTTTTCGGGAGCAAAATACGGATGGGAGTATCGAATAACGAAGGAGTAATGCTAGAAATGACATTTCATGCGCGTACAGAGAATGCATTTTTTTTCAACTACTAAATCTATTTTTGCGACAAAAATTTTTCATTCCGGCGCACTCTCTGCATGTTTGGCATAAACAAATCATTTTTTGATAATTTTCAAAAAAATATTTTCTTGGTATAAGACTTATTTGAGAACTTTGTCGTTTTTCTCTCAGTGCAGGTAATTTTTATCCAACTTTTCTCTACGTGTAAAATATCTATTAAAAATTATTGTGCAGAATCACATAATTCTCCTTTAAAAAAATCGAATTTTCCAGCGATCATATTACGTTTAGTCAATCTTTGCACTCATTTTGAAATAGACTGACTCGATTTTACACGAACACCAGCTTTCGAGAAATATCTCTGAATCAAAAGGCGATAGTGAAATTTTTGTAGAAACTTTGTTATAGATCTCACTTTGTTTTACAAAAAAAAATTATTCAGAGATGTCCACAAAAAAATTAGAAAGGGAAGTGTAAAAATGGAATTCAATTTTCTGGAGTCTTCGAATTTCAGACGGTATCTCGGAATCGTAAATACCCAATCGGAAATACCCAAATTTTGACAAAAATCCTTCACAAAAATTTTTAACATTTCTCTTCGCTGGGTAAAAAAATCTCTAAACTACAGAGTATATATCAAGAACTTGATAGAGCATAATGTTGAGTTGAATCATCTAGTTCCATCCCCTCGCTATCGATTTATGTTATAAGTAATTGGATGAATTCCATTACCTTTCTTGGGCACGCTTCGAGCAACATATAAACGTTTAAACTGTCCTCGAAGTAATGATGCATCTGTACGATATTCACGTGATTCAGGTCTTTGTGAATCATAATCTCACGTGCAATCTGTTGAAAAAAGTAGGAACATGAATACCTTCCTTGTTTTTTTATGAGAATTCAAAAACGAAGCGCTAAAACGGTTTAAGTCGATTTTGACTATTAGCCAGTTTTCAGTAAATATCTCGGAATCTAAGGAAAGTAGCAAAATTGTTGTCATAACCTTTTTTGTAGCTCTCAATTCTCTCTACAAAAAAGGTCATTACGAAATTTTCGTGAAACCCTTTTTTGTGGAGTGAATTGGGGGCTACGAAAAGGTCATTACAAAAATTTCGTAATTACGCCCTCAATTCACTCTGCAAACGAAAATTACATTATTTCCTTTAAATTCGAAGATATTCCTCGAAAGCTCAACTAAAGCCTAAATCGGCTTAAACCGTTTTACCGCCTCGCTATTGAATTTATTGGGGATTGGGGGCTTACGCACCTTTTGGATGTGGATCTTTTGCATACGATTCTTTGGAATGATCTTGCAGGCATATCGCTTCCCATTCGCTATATCAGTCATCAGGTATACCCTTGCGAATCCTCCCTACAAAGAAGAAAACATCAATAAAATGCTTAACATTCTTCCATTTTTTAAAATCTTTTTCCAGAGAACTTTCGAAAGATAGTACACCCGGGCCTTAATGAGCATTTTTTGTCGATAAATCTAATGTAATCATTTCATATCAAAAAATTTCATAGAAAACCTCAGCGCACTCGCTAGAAAATTCTATTGGATTTCTATTGAACTTTATTGGTTTTTGGCCAATTCTAGTAAGAAATTCCGCAGATTATTTATGCGTTTTTCTTCAATAGAAGTTCTATGGAAAATATTCTAGCGAAAAACTCAATAGAGTTCCATTGTTTTGGACGGCTTCCATTGACATATTTTCTATAAAAATTCCTAGGCTCAAATTTTCTACGTTTTCTTATTTTTTTTTTTCAAATGAGAAGTAAAGAAAAATAGAGTGGAAAAATTGAAAATTGGTGTCAAAGAATTACTGTAGGAAATGTCTCAATAAGAAAAGTTGTGTAGAAAAATGAAATTCGATTAATTTTTTGTATGGAATAATTTCGATTGGACATCTTCTATTAAAAAAATACAGTAGTGCTGCGGAATTCTTCAATTCTTCAAAAGAAATTCAATAGAATACTCTAGCTAAATTTGTCTGTAAAATTTTTTCGTGCCTGCAGTTAAACACTAAATTCACTGCAATATTTGCTTGTTGAATAGAAGATAATAAAGTCTATTCAAAAATTTTATTTGACTCAAACTACAATTTTCCAAAATTCAAACTGAATATTTTGTTCCGGAGTCTTTCCTACAAAAATAAATGCTCGATATTCCTGTCTCCCTCATTCTTCTATTTCAATTTTCCTTGTCCAAAAATAAATTCTAAATTACAGACGAAATCCCACTAGTTTTTCCTCCAACTCTTCTAGACGTGTGTTAATAACCCTTTCCTTGGCCCAAAATATCTCTAGAAATATTTTCAAGCGTCTCCATTCGTCGCGTGAGACGAGGAAAACATACCACACACCGATCACGTGTGTGTAACAAGTCACACGGCCCTATATACCAATTATACACTTAAATAAATTATTTTTCCGGGGCTGTTTTTATTGTTAGGCTTCGCTTCCAAATACATCCGACCCACGATGTATCGATAAAATCTTGCGCTACGGTTTTAGTCCACAGAAGCAGTTAACATGGAATACCATAATGAAGCGATGAAATAAAAATTTTCAATTCCTTTGAGACTTTAGTTATTTTAGTAAGGTTTTTTCTATTAAGGTAATGAACCTCCACATCCCAGATATTTTTTCAATAATTTCCCTTCAGTACTTTGTTATTAATAACAACGAAAATTAATAAACAATTATTTATTTTTTAAAACTTTGACTACTTAAAGTTCTATTTTTGAAATTTTTAGTACGTTTATTTTCCACGAGAAAAAAAAAATGGAACTGAAAAACATGTTGAAAAACTAGATGAATAATGAATGATTTAATATTTTCATCACGCTGTGCGAAAAAGTAACTTTCCGGTGGCCTGGCGTAGTGGTTAAGGCCGTTGCCTCACAACGGATAGGTTCCAGGTTCGNGCCAAAAAACACTTTTTTGCACTCGTTACGAAATATACTATTTCATCAAGCTGGGCGAAAAAGTAACTTTTTAGGCACGCTTCGCTTCGCGTGCCTAAAACGTCCCTTTTCCACACATTATGATGAAAAATATCGTTCGATACTCGTGGGAAAAGTGTTTTTTGGCTCGTGGGATTATATCACTCGGCTTCGGCTCGTGCTATAAAGCTCCCACGAGCCAAAAAACTCTTTTCCGCACTCATAACGAATTATACTATTATAGATCCTATTTACTAAAGATGAACGAAACGTGAAGTTGTGTTATATCGAAATATCTCGAAACTGCCTGACGGCTAATCCTTAAATCTGATTGGTCAATATGTGACACGAAGTTATTCACAAAAAAAACACGCGGCATTTTCAAATTCTTCAGTGACATAATTTCAGATTCTTCAGTGGTAAATTTTTTTTTTACGTCATATATATATAATATATATATTTCACATGTATATATATCATCGGTGAAATTAATAAATTCAGTCCTTTTATGGAGACCGGTTATTAAAAAAAATTGAAGATAATTAATTGAAAATGAAAAATTCTTTATGGGGTATTCCATGTGAACTCACCCAGGTCAAAACCCTCACCATCGCCAATCATATTGCCGATTTTTCCTGTGGTTGTATCTGATAAAATTTGACTTCTCAAATTTTTTCAGATTTTTTGAGGCATCCTGTGGGCAGCCATGTTTTTTTGCAAGTTTTATCTTCAAATGGCTGTAACTTCCGTAAAAATCAACCGATTTGAGTTTTTTTTTTTACAAAATGTGCGTCTTCGACTACACATTATTGTAAATGCAGGACTCGATGCAGGACTCAATGGACAATTTCAGATGACGAAAGATGAAAAAGACATGGAGATAACGTTCGAAAGATAGTACACCCGGGCCTTAAGCTTGAATTTATTTCTAAAATAGTGTGAATTGTCCAGTGAATAAACAAACAAAATTCATCAATAATGTAAATATGGAAACATTTAATGTCTCATTAAATTAAAGATCTCCCCATCAAGATTTCCCCGCCTCTCTTAGATCTTTTCGAAGGAGTTAATCGTAAACTCATCCTCAATCAGAGTTAGTTGATCTCATTTTGCCGATTCATTACGAAATTATCCCTCACTCAATCGCACCGTCTCCGTTCAACCTAGACCTGATTAAATCCCCGCAAAACACTGTTTTCCTCATCGTATTCATTACAATAAATCCATACAAAGACGACGCTTCGAAGAAGAAGCGTGCAACGAAAGGAGCGACTTCCGCTGAAAACCACAGCGAGAAAACCAAGGAACGAGGGAAGAGAGAAAAAAGTAAAGGTAAAAAAAAGGTGCATCGAACTGGGATGGTAAGAGTCAACGTCCAACGTCTAAGCGTGGATAAAGGAGCAGAACAGCAGGTATAAAGAAATCAAGGTTCCCCTCTGCCGGTGTTTGGGTTCCCACAGGAAAGCAGGAAACAACGTGCCCCGATGTTGCATGCTTGAGAGAGACAGATAAGACGCGTGGTGAGTGCGTCACAGGCCCGCAGAATGACCGAGACGAGTTGTTCAACTTTTGAAACACGAGTTTGACGAGTTTTTAATCCCATAAACTAGAAAATTAAAGTTTAGGTACAACTGCGTTTGTAAATCGGAGAAAATGAAATTTGGTTGGAGCGAAAATTCACGCAAATGGGGACATTATGTTGAAATGACGATGCATTAAAGAATATTTTGAGTACGTTGTTTTTTATTTCGATGAATCAGGAGAAAAATTGATGAGTTATAGGCGATTGAGAAATTCTGCATAATTTCTCTTGTGATGAGGAAATCAGTGGAAACTCGAAATTCCAGTGAGACTTAGGAAAAATTCGACACACAGCTGATTTTGTTTTAATATAAAATTTATGCCATTCGTGTAAAATAGGCAAAAGAAATATCCTTATAATATTGAAAGTACAAGATCGAAGGCGCGCTCCGCACCCCTAGCAATTTGATGGATTTTATATCAGTAGCGAAGTGGTAAAATGGTGCTAGTCAATTTTGACTAACTCAGAATCTAAGGCAGATAGCAAATTTGTTGTTATAACCTTTTTTATAGGGCCGATCGAGTGCTACAACAAATGTGATCGCGAAAATTTCGCTATCTCCCTTAGATTCCGGAATATTCCGCAAAAACTCAAGTGGGAGGTAAGTCGACTTGAACCGTTTTACCACTTCGCTACTGATATTGAGAAATTCTGCATAATTTCTCTTGTGATGAGGAAATCAGTGGAAACTCGAAATTCCAGTGAGACTTAGGAAAAATTTGACACACAGCTGATTTTGTTTTAATATAAAATTTATGCCATTCGTGTAAAATAGGCAAAAGAAATATCCTTATAATATTGAAAGTACAAGATCGAAGGCGCGCTCCGCACCCCTAGCAATTTGATGGATTTTATATCAGTAGCGAAGTGGTAAAATGGTGCTAGTCAATTTTGACTAACTCAGAATCTAAGGCAGATAGCAAATTTGTTGTTATAACCTTTTATATAGGGCCGATCGAGTGCTACAACAAATGTGATCGCGAAAATTTCGCTATCTCCCTTAGATTCCGGAATATTCCGCAAAAACTCAAGTGGGAGGTAAGTCGACTTGAACCGTTTTACCACTTCGCTACTGATATTGAGAAATTCTGCATAATTTCTCTTGTGATGAGGAAATCAGTGGAAACTCGAAATTCCAGTGAGACTTAGGAAAAATTTGACACACAGCTGATTTTGTTTTAATATAAAATTTATGCCATTCGTGTAAAATAGGCAAAAGAAATATCCTTATAATATTGAAAGTACAAGATCGAAGGCGCGCTCCGCGCCCCTAGCAATTTGATGGATTTTATATCAGTAGCGAAGTGGTGAAATGGTACAAGTCAATTTTGACTAACTCAGAATCTAAGGCAGATAGCAAATTTGTTGTTATAACCTTTTTTATAGGGCCGATCGAGTGCTACAACAAATGTGATCGCGAAAATTTCGCTATCTCCCTTAGATTCCGGAATATTCCGCAAAAACTCAAGTGGGAGGTAAGTCGACTTGAACCGTTTTACCACTTCGCTACTGATATTGAGAAATTCTGCATAATTTCTCTTGTGATGAGGAAATCAGTGGAAACTCGAAATTCCAGTGAGACTTAGGAAAAATTTGACACACAGCTGATTTTGTTTTAATATAAAATTTATGCCATTCGTGTAAAATAGGCAAAAGAAATATCCTTATAATATTGAAAGTACAAGATCGAAGGCGCGCTCCGCACCCCTAGCAATTTGATGGATTTTATATCAGTAGCGAAGTGGTAAAATGGTGCTAGTCAATTTTGACTAACTCAGAATCTAAGGCAGATAGCAAATTTGTTGTTATAACCTTTTATATAGGGCCGATCGAGTGCTACAACAAATGTGATCGCGAAAATTTCGCTATCTCCCTTAGATTCCGGAATATTCCGCAAAAACTCAAGTGGGAGGTAAGTCGACTTGAACCGTTTTACCACTTCGCTACTGATATTGAGAAATTCTGCATAATTTCTCTTGTGATGAGGAAATCAGTGGAAACTCGAAATTCCAGTGAGACTTAGGAAAAATTTGACACACAGCTGATTTTGTTTTAATATAAAATTTATGCCATTCGTGTAAAATAGGCAAAAGAAATATCCTTATAATATTGAAAGTACAAGATCGAAGGCGCGCTCCGCGCCCCTAGCAATTTGATGGATTTTATATCAGTAGCGAAGTGGTGAAATGGTACAAGTCAATTTTGACTAACTCAGAATCTAAGGCAGATAGCAAATTTGTTGTTATAACCTTTTTTATAGGGCCGATCGAGTGCTACAACAAATGTGATCGCGAAAATTTCGCTATCTCCCTTAGATTCCGGAATATTCCGCAAAAACTCAAGTGGGAGGTAAGTCGACTTGAACCGTTTTACCACTTCGCTACTGATATTGAGAAATTCTGCATAATTTCTCTTGTGATGAGGAAATCAGTGGAAACTCGAAATTCCAGTGAGACTTAGGAAAAATTTGACACACAGCTGATTTTGTTTTAATATAAAATTTATGCCATTCGTGTAAAATAGGCAAAAGAAATATCCTTATAATATTGAAAGTACAAGATCGAAGGCGCGCTCCGCGCCCCTAGCAATTTGATGGATTTTATATCAGTAGCGAAGTGGTGAAATGGTACAAGTCAATTTTGACTAACTCAGAATCTAAGACAGATAGCAAATTTGTTGTTATAACCTTTTTTATAGGGCCGATCGAGTGCTACAACAAATGTGATCGCGAAAATTTCGCTATCTCCCTTAGATTCCGGAATATTCCGCAAAAACTCAAGTGGGAGGTAAGTCGACTTGAACCGTTTTATCACTTCGCTACTGATATTGAGATTTTGGTACTGAATATTTAAATGCAATTTGAAATTCCTAATGGTTGAGAAATTTTGGTTTAATATTTATTGGAAACTATCTAAATAGAGAACTTGCATGAAGCTGAATTCTTTCCAATTCCCCTATTCACAACTTCCTTATAACATATGGATAGCTAAACGGCGAAAATTGTGGAAAAATATTGCCTAGATGTTTTTTGATAATTAATTGAAAATCCGTCGTTTTCGAGGCCAATTTTTCGGTTATGACGTCACAGAGACGGTCAGGTAACGCTTCATTGGTTGAAGAAGACGGGAGTGGGGCGTTGTCGTCCTCCATTGGCCGAGGCCCTTCTCAAGATTGGGTTAGGTCGGCTCGAGTCATTCTGTGACTGGTCCAATGCACGACCGTCTGTGTGACGTCATTAGCGATTTCAAAGCGTTTGAAATCTTCAATTTTTAACAATTAATTATTAATTAATGAGCAATATTCTAAACGTTTGTGAATGAAAAATGAATTATTCAGGGGCCAAACTTGATATTAGCAAATTGAAAAAAATTGGTCCCTATTCACTTGAATTCAACTTGAAACTTGAGAATTCGTAGGTAATTTCCCTCTGAAGTGATTTTAATGTCATAATTCTCCTGAACAGTGGAGAATTTACAAAATACCGGTCCAATATTATTCATTCGTGTTCGGTATTTCAAATTTTTTTATCATGATCGAAATATTCAAGGTCTTTAGACATTAGTCGTTTACGAATAATATTGAAGAATCGTAAAATTTTAGTGGTCATCTCGGGAAATAAAGTACTGTTATTTCCATTATGAGGAGCGTAAAACGTCTAATTATAAGAAAATAGAGATATAGCTGTTAAATGAGACGAACCATAAACGCCTGATTTTATGTTAATGGAAGCACAAATGAAAAAAAAATAGTCGATAAATCCAGCTATTGCAATTGTGTGTCATTATTTCACTCGTTTTTTTCACAGAAATATTCAATACAAAAAACAGAAATTTTCACTTTCTGGAGTATTTACTCTGTTGAAATATTTTTAATAGTTTAACAGTTTAATAATTTTAACCGTCCGCGGGGCAAACGAACAATAAACAATTAATTTTTTGTCACTCTGGTCGTAAGGCAGCGTTTTAGGCGCAAAATCACGTCAAACCACAAAAATCACCTCAACCACAAAAATTATGAATTTTCTGCCAATGGTCCGTTTTGCCCTACCATCCCCTTTAATAAAATTTTTTTTTTGCTTGAATTGCGTCAAACAGGTTTTTTTTTGACTGTTTCATTTTGTCCCACTCTCCCCTACTATTTTGCACTAATTATTCGTTTTCAGAAATATACAATCGATCTTCAACACTGTTAAAAAAATTTAACTGAATTTTCCAGAAAATGACACTGAATTCAATTTAATGGACAAAAGTCTATGAAACTTCAAGTTTCCCTGAAATTCAAGGAAATTCCTGATTTTTCAGTGGAAGAACCATCAAGACTCCGAAATTTCCATGAATTTTCAATGTAAACATGATAATTCAATAAGAAACTGCTCTGAAATTTCAAAAAATTGACAATTCAAGGACATTTTTGCTTGAATTTTCCTAATTTGCATTAATTTTCATGGAATAATTTAACTGAAATTTAAAATTTCCATGAATTTTCCACGAAAACCCCTAATTTTCAATGGTAAAATTCCCTGAAATTTCAATGAAACCGTCATTTGTGTCATATTTCGAGACTAAAGCCTGGAAACTTCAGTAAAAATTTTTTAACAGTGAATGCATTAGAAATCCCACGCGAAGAGCCCGCGACTTTCAAAACTCATAGTAGTCTCCCCTCAAAATTCGAGGCAATACATTAAAATGCTCCATGAACATAAACGTCTTACCTTTCCGAGAAACGGTCCTTTATGGTAGGCATTACCCTGGACCGGATCGACGACGTAATCCGGTTCACTATCACCAGTTGTGTTATGGCTCTCCCAAATGGACGTCAATTTGTTCTTAGACGGAGATCTGCCGATACCAACGACTGGTGTTGCATTGAACGACTGCAAATGACTGTTTTGACTTGTACCAATGGTCTGAGATCGTCTGTTCACCAATGAATCCAGCCCATCGAGGCTCGCAATGCGCGACGGTGTGTTTGAACGTTTCTGATTAATTCCACTGGTCCTTGGACCGGTGATAACGGTCGTCGAGAGACTTCCGGGCTCAGAACGAGCTCTACGAGTATCACAGGTCACACCAACGGATAATTCCATGAAGGAGGTAGCTACCACACGTCCGTCATTACCAGAGCCACGAATTGTTGATGTTCGTGGTGAATATGTGGGATTAAAGATTCTCTCGTAATTCACCAGAGAATTCATCAGTGAATTCTTCACATTCGACCCAATTTCCTGGGAATTTCTCAATGGAATACACGAGGCAGGCACTTCGGTGTCTCTTATCGTAAAACCAAAATTAACTTTGGCAGTGGGTTGATTAGTAAGAGCATTGCGGTCTTGACATCCGTTCGAATATTTCGGCATTTGCGAATTTTTCAATGGAGTTTTCGTTCCTGGGGGCTCCATAATCGTGTCTCGTTCACGTGACATTTTGGGGTGATTTTATTTTGGTAAACTTGAGGGATAATATTTGTGATACCGTGGAATAGCCAATGACGCTTTGATGTATAGATTAATTCGGCCAAGGCTCTTGTGACGTAGTCGAAATGCTGGTGGTGTGTTACGAACGATCGATGGTATTGCTTCGGAGGAGTTTCAACTGCCGTCTTTCATTAATTGAGCGGTGGGGATCACGTCCTGTTGACACCATTGGTTTTTATTATTATCTGATGCTAGGTGAATGAGAGAAGTTGGATAATTGGGGTGTTGGAGGGATTTTTTTAAGTTGAAGCAGAATGGTGAAGTGGGAAAATTAGGTGAAATATATTAGGAAAACATCAGGAAAAACGAGGAAGTCACAGTCAATTAGAAACACCTCGAGATTGGGATGACATAATACAGGCGCTCTCAATTGCCTGTAACTAATTAATTTGATTTTTTTATTGGAATAGAAAAATAGGTGTCTAATTTTTTCAGTTAATATTGATATCCACACGCACAAAATAAATAATAAAAATACCCAGTGAATTCACTAGACAATTCTATTGGATTTGGCTGGTTCTACTGAAATGTTCAATGGAAAATATTCTATAGAAAAAGACAATTGAATTCGATTCTTCTGTACAACTTAGTCTATTGGATATGTGTGTTTGTTTTTATTATTATCTGATGCTAGGTGAATGAGAGAAGTTGGATAATTGGGGTGTTGGAGGGATTTTTTTTAGTTGAAGCAGAATGGTGAAGTGGGAAAATTAGGTGAAATGTATTAGGAAAACATCAGGAAACGCGAGGAAGTCACAGTCAATTAGAAACACCTCGAGATTGGGATGGCATAATACCGGCGCTCTCAATTGCCTGTAGCTAATTAATTTGATTTTTTTATTGGAATAGAAAAATAGGTGTCTAATTTTTTCAGTTAATATTGATATCCACACGCACAAAATAAATAATAAAAATACCCAGTGAATTCACTAGACAATTCTATTGGATTTGGCTGGTTCTACTGAAATGTTCAATGGAAAATATTCTATAGAAAAAGACAATAGAATTCGATTCTTCTGTACAACTTAGTCTATTGGATTTGTGCGTTTGTTTTAGTAGTATCTGATGCTACGTGAATAAGAGAAGTTGGATAATTGGGGTGTTGGAGGGATTTTTTTTAGTTGAAGCAGAATGGTGAAGTGGGAAAATTAGGTGAAATGTATTAGAAAAACATCAGGAAACGCGAGGAAGTCACAGTCAATTAGAAACACCTCGAGATTGGGATGGCATAATACCGGCGCTCTCAATTGCCTGTAGCTAATTAATTTGATTTTTTTATTGGAATAGAAAAATAGGTGTCTAATTTTTTCAGTTAATATTGATATCCACACGCACAAAATAAATAATAAAAATACCCAGTGAATTCACTAGACAATTCTATTGGATTTGGCTGGTTCTACTGAAATGTTCAATGGAAAATATTCTATAGAAAAAGACAATAGAATTCGATTCTTCTGTACAACTTAGTCTATTGGATTTGTGCGTTTGTTTTAGTATTATCTGATGCTACGTGAATAAGAGAAGTTGGATAATTGGGGTGTTGGAGGGTTTTTTTTTAGTTGAAGCAGAATGGTGAAGTGGGAAAATTAGGTGAAATGTATTAGAAAAACATCAGGAAACGCGAGGAAGTCACAGTCAATTAGAAACACCTCGAGATTGGGATGGCATAATACCGGCGCTCTCAATTGCCTGTAGCTAATTAATTTGATTTTTTTATTGGAATAGAAAAATAGGTGTCTAATTTTTTCAGTTAATATTGATATCCACACGCACAAAATAAATAATAAAAATACCCAGTGAATTCACTAGACAATTCTATTGGATTTGGCTGGTTCTACTGAAATGTTCAATGGAAAATATTCTATAGAAAAAGACAATTGAATTCGATTCTTCTGTACAACTTAGTCTATTGGATATGTGTGTTTGTTTTTATTATTATCTGATGCTAGGTGAATGAGAGAAGTTGGATAATTGGGGTGTTGGAGGGATTTTTTTAAGTTGAAGCAGAATGGTGAAGTGGGAAAATTAGGTGAAAAGTATTAGGAAAACATCAGGAAAAGCGAGGAAGTCACAGTCAATTAGAAACACCTCGAGATTGGGATGGCATAATGCAGGCGTTCTCAATTGCCTGTAGCTAATCAATTTGATTTTTTTATTGGAATAGAAAAATGTGTGTCTAATTTTTTCAGTTAATATTGATATCCACACGCACAAAATAAATAATCGAAATATCTAGCGAATTCACTAGACAATTCTATTGGATATGTATTCACCTTTCTATTAGTTTTCGGCTGGTTCTACTGAAATGTTCAATGGAAAATATTCTATAGCAAAAGACAGTAGAATTCGATTTTTCTGGACAACTTATTCTATTGGATTTGTGCGAATTCGCTGGGGTTTTTTATGAAATGTTTTCATACGTGCAACGTTGAAAATTTAATACAAAACCTCCACTCAATCGTTGTGGAAAAAATGTATTTTACAGTGAAATGGTGGAATGAATAAATTCAATTCAGTATTGACTATTGACCAGTTTTCAATGAATATCTCGGAATCTAAGGGAGATAGCAAACTTTTTATTGTAACCTTTTTTGTAGAACCGATTGAGAGCTACAACAAATATAATTACGGAAATTTCGCTATTTCCCTTAGATTCGGAAATATTCCTCAAAAACTCAACTGAGAGATAAGTCGACGTAAACCGTTTTACCACTTCGCTACTGAATTTAATTTTAGAATAGATGAGTTTTTAGGGAATATATTGACATCTATGAGGAATAACGAATTTTTCGTGGAATGATTTTCTTTGTAAGGCATGAAGAATTCCACGCATGAAGAAATTTAATAGAAAAACCTAGCGAATTCGTTAGAAAATTCTATTGGATTTTTATTGAACTTTCTATTCATTTTTGGCCGATGCTATTGAAATTGCCAATAGGAAACAAACCAAAAACCAAGAAAATGAGAGTTGAGTTGAGAGTGAAAGTTATAAAGAAAAATCGAATTCTATTAAACATGTCAATCGAATCGACCAAAAACTGATAGAAACTACAATAGAAATCCAATAGAATTTTCTAACGAATTCGATAGGTTTTTCTATTAAATTTTTTCGTGTCATAGGGATTTCGTTATTTTTTTAATTCAGAGTGGAAACACTCAATAGTGAAGTCGTAAAATAACATTAACTTGTTTACTCTGTTCAGTTTTTGTCTGTTTAGTCGTTGTTTTCTACGGAATATCTTGAAATTCAAGAGAGACAGCGAACTTCATAAGACGAGCTCTTTTATAGAACAGAATGAAGTTTATAAATAAGACTCTTATAATTAAAACTAAGTATTTTATTTTAGGTTTGAAGATATTTATTAAGGTTCAGAAGTGAAGAGATAAAACCGAAATGTAAGAGAAATAGCAAAATTTTTGTGAGGCCCTGTCTTATGGAGTAGAGCGGGATGTATATAAAAAAGTCATGTCTAGTACTTTCTTCTAATTTTCATATTCAACATTAAAAATTCAATGCAAAATCCGAATTCAACCGTTGGAAAAATTAAATTCAAGAGGGAAATGGTGACATGAAAAAACTCATTTTCACTTTAGAATAGATGAGTCTTGGAGTGATTTTCATTGTAGAATTTTATGAGGATATCGTTATTTTTTTAGGTTCAGAGATATTTACCGAACACTCAGTAGTGAAGTTGTAAAACAAAATCAATTAAGTTTATTTAGTCTTTGCTCTTTACTGAATATCTGGAAATTTCAAAGAGATAGCGAATTTTTTATCCCCATTCAATCGTTGCAGATGGCAAATTAAATTTAAGAATGAAATGGTGAAATGAAGAAACTCATTGTCACTTTAGAATAGATTAGCATTTGCGATGATTTTCTTTGTAGGGAATCAAGAATTTCAGAAGAAGTTAATTTTTTTTTCAGAAATCTTTATCAAACACTCAGTGTGGTATCCTAAAACAAAATCAAGTTTGTTTAATCTGTTTTTTACTGAATATACTTCGAAATTCAAGAGAGATAGAGATAATTTTTTATCAACAACTTTTTTCGTAGGACAGAATGAAACCTGTTAATAAAACTTCTATAATAAAAACTTCGTTATTTTTTCTAGATGTGAAGATATTAGGCCGTGACTATTCGCATCATTGAGTGAATCACTCCCGTACACTCCATACACTCCACGCATGCG